TAGAGAGGTGTGGACAAGGCACTAAGGAACAAGTTTCACTAAGGGTTTAATGATGGGACTTGATACGTCAGATTGATGATTGGACTTGATGTTCTTTTGCCTGACTGCCCTTCTGCTGCCATCTGTTGTATGGCAACAGAAAGTAACAGAATATTGGCAGGAAGGTTTAACTTGTAACATCATACCACCAACATTTGCCTCTGATGTTGTGGCCGACATCATAAAATAGAAGGCATTACTTTCTCATCAATTCTTGTTTGAATCTGCAATAGGAAAATCATTATCTTAGATCTCTAATAAAGAAAACTTCTATAAGATATTAATATAACCAAGTTGCAGGAACTTGAAGAAGGCCTGAGTCAAAATTAGCACCCACACTGTAAGCCTGAATCATAATCAAATAAGCAGTGTTTCCTCTAGGGATAAAGGAAGAAGTGGGACAGAGTGATGAGGCAGAAATCTGTTTTAGCCTTGTTGTGTCTGAGCTGGTACTAGGACAACAGAAGACATTAGAGATAAAAATCAACATCTTAGTTTATTAAGGCAAAAAAAGAAGAAAATTGTACTCACTTTTTTAGCTGAAAGCCAAAATGTTGCAACTTTTTAATGTGTGTTTTAGAACAAAAGCCACAGTTTTTGATCTTTTAACTACTGGTAATGGCATCACAAATCCTCACAGCCCTGACAGGTTGGTAGCATAGTTGGATGTAACAAAAATATGATGGATTATGTTTGTTTTGTTGAATTACTTTTAAATTTGTTGTTGATCATTGAGTATTTACTGACAGTTCCCAGGGAAAAATGGACCATCTGCTGTGTTTATAGGAGTCCTACTGACACACCGGATTTGGAAAAGACTAAAATGACTTGAAAGACCGTGTGTCAGGTGCATGAATGATGTGTCACTGATGGGCTGTGTGCTGTCATATCTCGTCATCTGCAGCATACAGGCAATTTGGGGTAATGAGGAGGAGAGGTGTAGTGCTTTTTTGTTAAGCTTCCACCCCAAGCTACTGAACAAGCTGTAGCCAACCATGGGGAGTCTGCTGGTTCCTAATATAGTCACAATCCGAGGGGCACGAGGGTGATTTAAGGCCGCTTTCTGCATATTCATCTTGGCTTACTCCATCTCTTTCACGTACAGAAATCATCCCTCCTTTCCTATACTGTTTGGTTTCTGTTATTATTTGTTTATTGTTTGGGTAGAAGAGTAAATAAAGAGTAAATAAAGTGAAACAAAGAAACAAAGGAGTGTAGGCTCATTGCAGTGAAACAAGAAGCAAGGAAGGAGTCAAGGTTATTCCTTTTCTAAGCTGCATGTATGTTTCTCATATGATATGTACTAGATCATTTGGGTTTAGGAACTTGCTAGCTTTTACTGGGAAGGTGGTGATGCTAAGAGATGGATGGAAAAAATGACAAAGGGAATAGTCAATGTTGCTGCACCCAATCTTTCTGCCCCTCTCCAACAGATGAAATAGTTCTTGCATTAAGCACTGAGCTCCTTTGCCTTGAAAGTCTGAAGTCTTGTCTCCTTGAAGCTTTGAATCTTCATCATAGATTTTTTTAATGTCTTGACTTGTACTAGGAGTGTGCAGGAATATCATACAAGACTCGGACCTTGTCTTTACGAAAGCAAGCTGTGACCTGAGAAAACTTTTACAAGCTCTTAATGAATCTATCTTAGAAAGAAAATCCTTAATCAGTAATTTATTTTTTAACACCATGTGCACTTGGCTTCATATCAAGTAGCAGAAGGCTTTTGGTTTCTTGCTTTTCCATGTCCTAGCAAGCAGAGAAATTGGTGGGGACAGTATGATGCAGAAGGGGCAAAAGACCACAGGGACTGAGCCCAGCTCTGATATTCGGTGGCTTTGTTACCCTGGGCAAGTTGCTTTCCTTAGGAGATTTCTAATCTCAAGCTTGTCCCATGTGTAATGCAAGGATTAGCAAAGCTGATGTGTGGCCAGAGCATCCAAGAGGTGAGAGCTGTGTGATCTTACCTTGTGTCTTTTGTCCTGCTATGCTCCTCTCAGTATTATCCAGCAGGAGGGGTGTGTGCCACCAGCCTTAACTTTCACTGAGCCTTCTTTGCAATGGCTGCCACAGAGCAGGGTTTTCTTTTTACATTTTTACAGTAGGACGACCAGTGCCATCAGTCTTACATAGGCATAATGTTCTTTCTTTCATTAGCTGTTTATGTTTGAAGAACACTTCTTGAAAGCCTTTCAGAATGTGTATGTTCTTTTATGGTGAGTATGTTACACATGTAAAGATACAGATACAGATCTATATACATAGCATTTAGTGGGGATTGTGTAGCTGTATGATGGTAGAACTGGCACAACACTTGAAAGTGCTTAAACTCCTTTCTTTGGCCTATTTGGAAATCACGTGTACTGCTCCTGTGCCATGTAATGTGCCGGTGCCACATTGGCTTGCACAGAGATGGAGGCAGGTGCAGAATGATGCCCTTGTTTAATCGAAAATCTCCTAGTTAGGGGCTATCCTAAAAAAAACCCATCATAGTGTAGGGAATAGGGTTGACGGGTGACCAGCTGCAAATTTGAGCTCAGAAGTGCTCCATGCAGCATAACCACATGGTGCTTGTGGAACCATCCCTGCAGCATTTATTTCTTGCACTTGACCACTGGGGAATGTGTTTGTCGTCCTTCTCACTCCTGTCACGTTAGGGCTTTGTCAGATCAGAATACATCGTTGCTGTGCTTCTCTATGTCCCTTGACTTGTCAGAGGCACAAATCTTTTTCAGACGCTCTCCCCTGTTCACTTCCATTATTATATCTGGTGCTTCTGGGTGGCAAGCAGAAATGAATAACCTTGTAAATGCTCCCTGTCTTTCAATTTGTTTTATTTTCCGTACAACATGTCAGTGCATTTTTGTTGAGTGTTTTTAATAAGATGATGCTGATGAAAATAAATTGCTTTGCAGTTCCTGCTGTGGGTGACAGAAATGCTGGGTCTGTAATTTTCCAAAACTGTGCATTTGAAACAAGTGTAGAGGCTTTTCTGTATGCCTGTAACCACAACCATCCTCATGAAATCCCTTGCAGGAAAAAAAAAAAGCTATCAGTTTGAATTTTGGGGGCAAGATGCACTGCTGTATCAAGCTTCTGCTGGGCACAGTTAGAGAAGGAGATGTGAAGGAGAATTTTAGGACTGATTCCCTGGCACATTTGGGTCTGCTGCATGGGATATTCAGCCAAATCTGTCTCTAGTGTGAGAGGAAGAATGAGTTATGTAGCAAACCTTGTTGGAGTGTCTGTTAGCCAGGATTTGGGAAGTCAGGGCTGGAACTGGAAAATGTAAATGCCACAGTGCCCACGGCTGCTGCACATCAGCTTTCTTCTGACTGTTTCAGTGTCTTGCTGGAAAAGAGTAAGGCAGATAAATGGTTATCTCCCTGTTATCAGTCTGGTGAGTACCCATCTCCTCCAGGAGTGTAGGTAACCTAGCTGTTTCAAAGGTGTTTTTTGAGTCAAGATTCTTCTTGTTGCTCGCTTAAATGAAAAATTGTCAGTATTGCCATATTTTCGTAACTTGTTTTTTATTTGGTTAAAAATGCAGAAACTATAGATACAATTCCCTAAAGTTTAGAAATTCATCTTGTTGTCTGCCTTTTTATGCTCTCATCCTACTTAGATAGCTATCAAGGCAGTGTTAATGTCCGTCCCTTGCTGCATTCTGTGCTGCATTTCTGGAAGGGAAGCACTTTCTGTTTTTGCTGGCTAGGATACAACACGTGGCTGATGCACAGTAGCTGCAGATGAAACAAGAGCTCAGGTCCCACTTCTGCAACTTGAATGCTAGTGCTGTTATTATTAAGCCACTTTACTATTTTTACTACTTTATTTTCCATACACTCCATCAACTATTCCATCCGTTGGCGAACTTTGAAAACAGGAATTATCAAGCTCCCAATTTTATAAAACTTTTCTCCTCTTTCCGTTTCAGAGATTTTCCCTGAGATTACATTGCTCAAAGTACAGAAAAGGAAGTACCCAAGATTAATGTTTTTCACTGTCCTCTCAAATTTGAAAAGTTGGATTAATACTGGTAGTAAAGCTGGCTGACTGTAAAGTGAGAGTTCAGTTGATGGTGTTGTACTACTTCCTTAAGGAAATTATTAGGCTCTGTTAGGCAGCATTTACAGAGATTTGTGCTTAGTTTTCTTCTATTTTGCTGTCTTTCATCACATCCACTTACAGCAACAAGATGGTCCATCCATGGCAGGTCCTTTCCTTCCAGAAGATTTCACTTTTCTCTCTTTGATTGCCAGGAGTGCTGTATGAGGGCTGGGCTCTCCTCCCTCACTCCTAGGTTCCCACTGTGCCGCATTTATTCGCTCAGTGTCACATTCTTCACATGTGAGCTGGGGGAACAGCTGCTCCAGCAAATCACTGCTGTTGAGCAGCAAGAGCTGAAGCCTTTGTTTAGGCTGCACACATGTGGTTCTTTTGATCTTCTCTCGTAATTTAAACTATTCACCTTTTTCTGAACTCCCTTTAGTTTGTTGACATCTGTCTGGGTCCTGAGTGTCTAATGCAGAGCAGTACATGAGGACAGTTTTGCCAAAGCTATTTTATAAAGGATCTGTCAGCTTGGTTAAAAGACATGAGCCTTCCACAGTAGCTTTAAGAGCTGCCGTGAAAGCTTATACCCGATTCTTCTCTTCTTCCCCTTCTTGTCCTTTGGAGGCATTTCTGGCTTTTAGATTCTCACTCACTGGACTGGTGAACACCGAATGCAATAAATCAGTGAAATACTGACTTGTTTCAAGTCATTGGCTTGTGTGAAATTTGCAGAAGAACCCTGTTAAAAAATTTAAGTATTTTTTCTTTTAAAATTCTGATTCTCCTCATTTGTTTCCAGAAGTGTTCTGCTTGACCAAATGTAAAAATGTTTTTACACTGCTGTGTGTGAGAGTCTGGTATGATAGTGTGCTTACAAATCCTGACTTTGTTGGTGTTTTTGTTTCTAGGTACTTGGTGCTAGAACACGTGTCAGGTGGGGAGCTCTTCGACTATCTTGTAAAAAAGGGAAGATTGACACCAAAAGAAGCCAGGAAGTTCTTCCGACAAATCATCTCTGCTTTAGACTTCTGCCATAGTCATTCAATATGGTGAGCACAGTCATTTCCAACAGGAATTGCCTGTTACATAAACGCACATACTACAAGCATCTTACTTCCTGACACTGTTAAATAACCAATGTTGTAAAGCTGGAAAGGCATTGTGTAAAGTGCTGGCATATTTTTAAATTCTTGGCTGTCAGTGAGAATGCATACCAGTCACAAACAGACTTTTCATGGAGAGCATTATCTTTGGAAGAGAATTCATTCATAGGGTGTGGTTTAATCAGGAAAACCAAAACCACCATGGAAAAGCTTTTTAATTTCCATCGTTCTTTGGGGCACTTTCTAATAACTCAGAATTACAAACACTATTTCAGAATGAGTCCCTAAAGAAACTTGGGACAGATACCAATGCAGCCAAGTCATTTTATGGCTTCCTTCAGTTTTTGGAAACCTGCTGGCTTTTGGCAACTTTGCCCAAGTCCCTTCTGGGCATTTGAGTCATTGTTGCCTTTAATTTCCTTTCCAGTAGGGAAGAATTTGCTTGATGTGTCTGGAATTTATATTTACAAACTCCATCAGATGATTTTACCATAAAGTGTGGTTTAACCTGCTCGTTTGGGTGATGTTTTAAATTGGACCAGTTTCCACTTAATCTTCAGCAAGTTTAGCTAATGTAAATTTTACTGAAATCAGTTGTTATGGTGAGTCTGAGCGCATGGTTTCTGTGCAGCTGCTGACCTGCTTTTTTCTCAGAAATGCAGCTCCTTGCAGTAAGATTGGCTGGGGGAGACATTTACATTGTGTCTGTGCAGTTACTTCTTTGAAGCCACAGATCTCCCCTCTGCAGGAGGCTGCGGGCTGCTGTTAGATATTGCAGTAGCTGGGTTTGCATAATCACCCTGTGGATACTTCTCAATAACAATACAGTGATTTCTGTAACCCCAGTTTTGTGCTGAGAACTCACATACCAAATACCTGCAGCATAAATGGCATCTATGCGTGCTGGGCAGTGTAAACACTGCTGGGTTGAATACATAGATGGCTCTGTTCACTGTGTGGCTTCACACTTAGGAATCTGATCCAAGAAGCCTCAAATAATGTTTAAGTACAACTGAAAAGAAATTATGTATTCTTTCGAATGAATATTCCAGAGAAATATGATTCACAACTGGGACAGAAGTTTCTATGAAAACATTCACATCAGTCCTTTGGGCTTTTGTTGGATGCCTTGTGACATGTCTGAGTAATAAACTCAGCGAGGCTCGTGGTGAGGCTGTCAACATGACAGACAAGCATTTCTGCAGGTTTAAGGATATGTGGAATTTCCAAGGCAGAGTGCACGTCTCTCTTGAGGAATCCATTTTCCTCTGTTAAACATATTGGATTGTAGGCAGTAGTCTTGTTTAGAAGTAAATCCCCTGTCTCCTTGCCAACTCCCACTCTACTAACATCTACTGCTGAATAAGCTAGCTAGTAAATCATAAGCTCTCCTTCCCTCCCGGTCACTCTGAGACTTGTGTGGCTGGTGTTATACTAGACTCTGTATGAGATTCTGAGCAGTTATCATAAACCCTTTTTGAGAATCAGAGCATGCATAAATACATTTGTGTGCATCTGTGTGAATATAAAAGTTAATGTGCTTTCCTAAGCAATGAAGCCTGACCTTGTCCTGTCGTGGGGCAGTGAAATGACAAATCATCTCATCAGCCAGGTTATCCAGTTATGACCACGTTGAAAAATGAAGGCTTCTGCTTTGGTTAATGACTAAACGTGTGTGCCTCTAACTCACTGGCAGAATGGATTGATGGCCTGGTGTCCCTAGACCCATATCATTGTCCGATCTTCTTCCAATACCTCCCAAAACACAGAGAAGCATCTGTGGCTTGCTTTTACAGCAGTATGTAGCCACATTCAGCTTTCACTGTTCAAAATGTATTGATGCATCGAGATTCATGGATCAAAAAATCGAAGGGATTCCCCAGTGCTGCCATCAATAAAATGCTTCTGCTGCTATGGTATGGAGAAATCACCTGTGTCTGAGAAGGTATCTTCAAGCGAGCAGCTCAGACAAGGAAGCAAAATAGGCTTGGAGCTTGAACGTGCTTTCATGGCTTCGTGTTGTTTTTATAAAAGTAGGAACTTTCCATTATTACGTAGGTTGCTCTGAAAGTAATGCCTCTTATTTATTTCCATGGAACCTACGACAGTTACAAATAGCACAATAACACTACTTGATAGAGCAGACTTTCGGCTACAAAATGCTATTTTTCACCAAAATCACCATCATTAGCTATGTATTTTTGTCAGTAATAAGCAAGAGCCAGATACTAGCTCATAAAAATCTGCACCAGCAGAAGTGACCCACTGTTTCACAGCTGTTATTATGGCACCATTGCTAGGAAAATGTTGCCCATGCAGTCCGACTTTCACTGTGCTCACATCCACTGTTTGGTCTCCATAAATATTTAAGTGTCAATGAATGTCACTGGGTGCCATTTTTTTCTGCATAGTGGAATGCAGTGATTCATCTTTTCCTCATCTGCACTTCCACATCAGATGCCATTCTGTCACACCGCCCCTTTGCTGCCATCTGTTGCACGGCAACAGCATGTAATGAAATTTTGGTGGAAGGTTCAACCTCTACTGCCATACCATCAACATCCACCCTTGATGTCGTGGGCCGACATAATAACATAGAGGCATTGCTTTCAGTGCAGTCCTCGTATTTTATTTAGTGGAAACTAAGAGCAAAGATTTGAGGTATCTCACCCTGAGGCGCAGTCACAGAGTTTGGTGGTGTGCTTACCTGTGGGGATAGATAATGTACTTCTCAGTTCTGTAAGGGCTTCCCTTGCTGTGCTAGGGACCCTTTTTTGAAAAGCAGGTGCTGTGCAGAGGTGTTGTATGTGATCCTGCGAACAGCGTATCTGTGTTACTCTGGTGCTTTGCCTGAGCTAGCAAGCAGAATGATGAACTCAGTGATGCAGCAGCATTGCTCCTGCTTCCAGCTCTGTGCTAGTTCTGAGGGCTCTGTGTTGTGCTGCAGCACACAGATGTGCTCAGAAGTGATGCAAGAAATGGCAGAGTAACCTGGAGTCCCTTGGACATAAGACCTTGCTAGCTAGGACAGAGGTTTGGATGTAACTAACAATTTTTTCCTAAGCTACCAAAGAATGGGTGCCTTCTCTCTTACGTCAGTACCTTTAAGATGTCTGGGCTGGATGCTGCGAATCAGTAATCCTTTTGCGTATCTTGCATCCATAGTGTGGGAGAGCTCTCAGCTAATTCAGCACCACCTATAATTACTGTAAAACAATGTAGGAGCAAATACTGGGGTAGGTCGCAAATCCTTGCTTTCCTCAGGAAGAGGCTCTTATTTGCAGCAAGGGAATGCTGCAGCACGGGAGGAGGTGGGAGCCAGGCAGAGCGAGCTGGCGGGTGCCGCATTGGCTGGGGGTGACATCACCACCAAAAGCTGGGATTGGCCACGTCCTTATTTTGTGTGTTGGGTTTGTGCTTTGGTCAAGCTCTGTATCTCACAAGCTGACAAATAAAAATATGATTACAGAAAATGCCCCGTGGCAAACCTTATTACGGCTTCAGAGATAACAGATAATGCCAATTACTGCACAGGGCAGTGGTGACATTGAGAGGAAATTCCCTGCGGTAATGAGCAGCGAGATGATTATTTCATTTTATTTTTATTTTGGTTGGGTTTCATTTTGTGTTATGTTTTTTTTTGTGGTTTTTTTTTTTTTTCATAGCATGCACAGGAGGGGTTAAGGCAGTTTCTTTATGAATATTGATAAATGACAATTATGAGGTCCCTTTCTCCTTTTATTGCCTGGGGCTGTGCCTGCTTGAGTACGCACGAGGATCTTGCTGAAGTGTGTCTGTGTGTGTGTGCATAGGCATGGGGGTGTGTGACTCAGAGGGTTAAGGCAATGAATAAAGAGCTTTGTTTGGCTTCGCCTTGTGTTCTTGCAATCGGTGCAGGGGGGGAAATGGCTCCTTATAAAACAGAGCTTTGAGATTTCACAGCAGTGGTGCTAAAATCTCTCATATATTACTGCAGGCAGAAGCTGCAGAGCACTGTCAGTAGAGGAAACACGCTTTTACAAAGAAATCTGGGGTGCCTTCAAGAAGCAGAGAAAGCCAAAGAATGCCAGGTGCCATGAGTAACCTGTCCTGTTAGGTAGTACCACGTTCCTAGTGACTCCTGCTTTGACTTGCTTCTTTTATAAGGAGGATGCAGAGACGTGTGTCCACAGCTGGACACTTTGAAAATATGACCCAAAGCCTCCAAATGTGAAAGTGGGCTTGAAACCGTGGAATTTCATAATGTTGATTTCTGGTATTTCTTCTGGGGGTCTTTGAGTCTTTAGATTTTGAAGTTTTCTTTTAGACCTTCAAATTAGAAATGTACCTTCTTCTCTTGATGGGAGCTGAGATTTGCCAATCTTTGTCTGAATCCAGGAGCTGCATATCTAGGACTGAGACTCAGTTTAAACAGTGAGGAATTTAAACATTTTCCTTGCACAAAAAACTGGAGAAATAACATTAAGCACAGCAGCTGCAATGTCAAAAACAGTTACCAGCTCTGCTAAAGTCAGAGGATATGTATTTTCCTAAGTTTATTTCTTTACATAAGCCACTGGAAACTCGAAAATGGCATAGTCTCAGTGTAAGCATAACCAGGTAGCATTCTTTGCAAGTGCATTCATGGTGATCAGACTTGACAGTCTGTGCTGTCTCTGGAATACAGGAACATATGTTTTGAGGCAAGGTTTTTAGGGAGGGGCAGTATATATTAATGCATCACTAGAAATAATCATACTAAAACCAGACAAGGTTTCAGGCATTCAAGCACTTCTTCAAGATTGCTGATATGTTTAGAGATCATGTCCTTTTTCCTAGCTGCATTTGCTTGTTCTGCAGGATTCTGTGAAATATTACTAAATTTGAGTGTAGCAACCATGACTCTAAAACAAAGATCCTCTGTAGGTAGATGCCAGTTATGCATTTGGATCTTATTTGCAGAAGCAAGAGAAAATAAGACAAAGGGCTTTTTCTGATTATGAAAATTAAAAATCTTGCTTCTCATACTAGTAACACTGATAAATTATTTGCATCACATCAGGCTTCTGCTAAGCACTTTTAAGAGGCATACTGCAGAACAATGATTCTGTGGTCGGGCCCTTCTGGGATTTTGGGGTCAGTAAGAAAAGCATTTGCAAAGTAGCCAACAATTTGATTAGTACAAATGACCTGCAACTACACCAATTAAGAGGTTTCTTGGATTAGAAATCTATGACCTGCAATGAGTTGTCATAGAAACTGATAGGAATATTTCAGCACAAAAAATCACTTTAAAATAATGGGTTGGTTCATCATCTTGTGCCAAGTGACATAGTTTCCTTGAATCCAAGATCTTAAATCTGTCTCTACACCCAAAATCTTCTGCCAACCCTGGGTGACAGGGAGAGGCTGGCTGCTTTAGTTCCATTTTTAACCATGCAATTGTCTGCAGTACAACTCTAGGGACGTTCCCAGAGCAGGAGAACAGGCTAAGAGAGGCAATGGAGGGAGCTGAAGGAGCTGGCTGGATAGCATCACTGGGAGTGACCAGATAGAAACTTGGCCAGTGTGTGTGTGTGAGACTGGAACACATTAATGAATGTGCAGGCCTTTCATTTTCTCTGCACCACCTCTGAGGATTGTGCCTATTTCCGTGGGACCCTTTTTCAGACCTCCATCTCTTTCTTTCTCCCCATCCTCGTCTTGTGCTGTGATGGAATTGTAAAGCCTGTGTTATACTCTGTAAAAGAGAGATGTTGCAGAGAGCCTGACAGTGTCATAGCTTATTTAATGGCTCCCTTTCATTCCCACAATGTCCCTTCAAATGCCTGCTGCATGCATGCAAGCTCGTGGAGCTGACTTCTTACTCCATTGTCTGGGGTGAGGAGCTCTGGGCAGTCTGTGACCACCCTGGCTCAGGATTTCAGTGACTTCTGCAGGGCTGCATTTCCCTTTCAGATTCTTTTTCAGCATACATAGGGCTCAAGAGGAATGTTGGCCATGTTGTCACAAAATAAGTTGCTCTCTTCTATTCTGATTTACCAGCCGTGTGCTGGTCCTGGGCAACCTGATCTGAATGTGTACGTTTGGTGGCCCTGCTAGGCAGGGGGGTTGGAACTACATGATCCTTGAGGTCCCTTCCAACCCAGGTGATTCTGTGATTCTGTGATTCTGTGATTCTGTGCTAAGCCCCTACAGCTTTAGAGTCTTTAGAACAACCAAAAGTTCTCTATTTCACCTGCAGAGAGAGGAGTTGATGTGGTCATATAAGACATAGAGAGCCAGAGAGACCAGCTGGAGTGGGACCAAGTTAAAATGCATTTACTCTGCAATGTTCCATTAATGCCAAGTAATTACCACATACAGTGGGATTTTTGTTTTGTTTAGTTTCATTTTGGCACAAGAGAATTCTTTCCAAACATGAATGCATAAGGCCATCCAGGCAGATAGGCTCCTAGGTAAATTATAACAAACCTTCCCTATTCCCATATGTTCCTCTTCCTTCTGGCACTTGGAAACTGGCAGTATAAAGATGGGAAATGCAAATGCGGGGAGGAAAGTTTGTTCGCAGAGGCAGTGATGCTGCTTCTGCTGCTCCGGTGCTGGCTCTTGGCCTCACTGCTATCCCCAGGATGGTCCCCAGATTCTAAGATTCTAAGTGCTCCAAAGATAGAAAGCAGGAATATGTTCCAGCTAGAAGCTGGGGCATAAAATTCTCTTGTAGTTGAGCTTGCAAGCATTGCCTGATCCCATGGGCACCCCGATTACTGAGAAAAGTGCTGCTGCAATGCAAAAAAAGAAATACTGCTGCCATGACGTTCCTGAGCTCACCATCCATACCTGGCACTAGGATCTGTGTTAAAAGAGATATGGGAAGGGTCAGGGAGTGACATAACTGCCCAGTGGCATTCGTGTTTGGGGCCCAGTCAACAATAAATGTATCAATTCTTGACAGAGTCCACATTCTGTTCTGCTGATTGGGCTGTAGTGAAGAGAACAAAATTACTCTTGATTTATTTTGGTGTTTAGAGAAAAAAAATGCACAAAAAACCAAAAAGGTCTACTGCCACCTCAAATTTCATATATACTACCCCACTATCCTTAGTCCCACATATACTGAAGGAGGGCAATGTAAGGCTTTCAAAATGCTCTCAGTGAGGTGAGTCAGGACCTCTACCTAAAGACTACCATCAGCTCAGGTTGGTTGATCATTCGGGTAAAAGCATTGTACAGCACAAGGTGAAGCTCACTGGACGTCTTACATGTGGATGATGGCACCCTCCATCCCCTGTCTTACTGTGGCTTTACCAAAAAAAAAACAAACCAAAACAAAACAAAAAAAACCCAAGAATTTTATTTTTGCCACTTTACAGGAACTTTATTTTTTCTAGTTGGTTCTCCCTTAAACTCAAGTCTGAAAGTGCCTGTGTTGTGGATACCAGCTGATGAGAAGACAGGATGAAATGGTGAAGAGACTTGTTTCCCCTGGTGAATAATATATTCTTTATCAAAGGTGTCATCCCTTTGCTTTCACTGCCTCTGAGTAATCTGGGAGTGAGGCTGGCTCAGAACTCACATGCTTTATGCTCCGGCCAGAGCTTGAGGCGAGTCTGCTGAGACTGCTGGCTCTGAGGCATAGAAGGGTAATGTTTGAACATCTTTTGCTGTGGCTGTTCTCCTGAATGAATGTGAGATGTTTTGTAATGAACATACATGCAGTTTGGAGAAATGCTGTGTTCAGATCATGTTGTACCTTAATCTCTGGATTTCCTAGCTCACGTCAAAAGCAGGATCCTTAGTGGCCATTTTAAATGTCCTTAATGACAATCATAACACTCAGTGATAAGGTAAATGGCCAGTATCTGTTTTGAATGTGTGCTGTTTTGCTGGAAGTCTCCTCTAGAAATATCTATTACACTCCCTAAGTATCCTATTACAGCATATTCTGGTTATGTATTGAGTTAGCCTGCATTATTTACAAGTTGTGTCTAATTGATCATTCCAGACTTCTGTAAAGATCAGAGATCATTTCCAAGACGTTGTCAAGCTCTATATGTTTCTCTGGGGGGGCAGAGACCAACCTCCTTTGCAGGTGGATAGGGGTATAATTACAATTGCATCCATGAGCAGCGCTAGAGGGGCGTTGTAAGAATGAAGATGGCATGCAGCTAAGGCTGAGCTCTGTTATGGCTGTTGCTGGATTAGATTATGTTAATGCTGGGTCTTCAATTTTTTGGGCAGGTAACTTTTTCTTGAACCACTGTAGCAAATGGCTATTATTTGCCTGACATTCATGCATGTTGTCAATTGGCCATTTCCAGCAGGTTTGTGTTCTAACAGGGCACCTGAACTGACTGTTCTGCCTTGAAGATTTTTTTCTCAGGGTTGCAGCTTTTATCAGCAGGACATCAAAGATACACACTTTGCTTTCTTATAAGTAAAGACAAGTGAAGAGAGCTTCTTCAGCCTGCCTAGAATCCTTCTCTCATCTCTGTGGCTCTTCAAGGGCTGCAAATAAAAAGGCAAAAAAGTCATCTCAATTTTAGGGCAGGGTTTTTGGTTTGGGGTATAAAATCAAGTAGATCTAACAATTGTACAGAAGTACTTGAGTACTGAGAAACAGGTGGATGTGCATAGTGTTGCTGTCTGCAGGTAATGAAAATGAGTAAATTAGTCAGTATACATTTTCTTTGATTTAAAACAGGAGTTACTGTCCTGAGCGTCATGACTGCCTGCTCATTCCCACGTTGCCAAATAATAAAAGAACTGAGCTTTGCTGGAAGGAAGGGAATGGAATCCTTCTCTTCTTTCCTGTTGCTAATGCTCTCAGTTAAAAGCAGTGTTGGGTTCAAGGCTTTCTCCATTGGAGCTAGCTGCCCAAAATGTTTTCAAATGCTTATGTAAATGACCCTTAATAGGAGCTTTTTGCTGTAGTGTTTGCACCAAATACATTTGTTTGTTTGTTTGTTTTCCCCCAAGACTTCACTAATACTATTTACTGTTAAAGAAATACACTGATGGCATTCACTCTCGCCTTAAGAAGCTGGCATTTGATGGAGTAAGTCAGCCTTAAATCTAAACCGAATATTTCCTCCTGCCCATTTCCCTCAGTCTCCCCCTCAGATTGTGTTGATATTGTTCATTTTCTATACGGACAGTGAAGGCTCAAACATCAGGAGTGGGCACCCCATCATTTGGGGGTGGGCTAGAGTGCTGCAAAGGCCAGATTTTAGGTGTGTGTGGTCTCCTAATCTGGAAGAGAGAAAGAATGACATCAATTAAAATGTAGTAGGTTGGATGCTATGCTGGATTAAAAAAAATACAGGCCTTGGAATGGGAAAGCTGTTGTGGATAATTTAACTTGCATTTTGATCTTTTCTTTACAGCCACAGGGACTTAAAACCAGAAAACCTACTGCTGGATGAAAAGAACAATATCCGGATAGCAGACTTTGGAATGGCATCGCTGCAGGTTGGGGACAGCTTGTTAGAAACCAGTTGTGGGTGAGTGTCTCAGCATATTGCAAGTAGACAGTGACGGATTTCAGACGTAGAAAATGTCAGTAGCAGGGGGTTTGAGCAGACTTGTGCATCCTTATTTCCTAGCAAGTTAGTAAATTTTAAAAATGTATACAGTGCATAAAATAGCTAAAATAAGGTTTTTTTAAAGTGCTTTGCAATGAAAAGCAGGCCTCTGTAGGTGTCACATATGGATAGAAATACCAAGGCTTTCAGGTTTGGACTCATCTGCCTAGGCTTGTGTTTGCTTTCACTGGACATGTGATATTTGGAAAATGAAAGCAGTGGTGAAACATGTTTTATGAATAAGCTTTAAAATATTAGGAGTTGAGAAAATAAGGGAATCTATGGCGTCTGAAATGGAATTTGTGTGTTCTGTTCAGGCTGCCTGCTTGCAGCTCTTTCTGTTTATGCTTCACTCTGCTTCATTTCAGCTCACATCCAGAATTGATAGGGAGGCAGCAGAGGGTCCTTTGCAATTACAGGCAGGGCATCAACACAGATACAAAAGAGATTGCTTGGAGGAATATCACAGGGACAATAAAAACATTTCCGTGTTAATTCAGTTGCCAGCAGGAGCTTTCCAGGAATTTCCAAGGGAGCCAGCAATAAGCCCAACAGCTGAGTGAAGACCTGGTGCCTGACTAGGGCAGGATGAGCATTTCAGGAGCAATACCCTCTGATCACTATTATCTCTAGGGATACCACAGGCACTGTGGTCCCCCAAAGCCCTGACACTGTGCTGTGCTGACTGCAGTGTGCTGCTGCAGTGAGCTGTGGCAAGGGCATCAGCTGCATCGAGCTGCTGCAGCCTGGCACCACTATGCCAGCTTTTAGCTGTGTATCAATTTGTTACAACAGCAAGCTCAGCAGCTGGAGTTGCAGAAAATACCAGCAGTTCTGTGTCTCCTCCCATACACACCTACTCTTCCTGGCCTTTGGCAGTGAAAATCTTTCAACTGCAGCTCATCTCAGTCCTCAGGCTGCTACAGTCCGTGTCTTTTCATTCTGTGCCCTGAGGCAAGACAATTCAGAGTGGACATGGAGCCATACCAGCTCCCTTTATACCACATCTACTGCCTCTCAGTCCTGAGCTGCACAGCTTTGCATTCCAAGTTTTTAATAATAAATTGCAAAATTGTTTGAAGCTGATGATGTGATTGAATGGTGGTTGATGACTATACTGAGATGCACTGAGATGTCTGTGTGAAGATTTGACCTCTTACCAGTGCAGATGAGAAACAAGGAGCTGTGAGTCTGCACATCTGCTGCTTGCAGCTGCTTTCAAACCTCCCCTCTAGACTAAGAAACAAAGTCTTCACTGCAGTTATCACAAAGGATCTCTGCTCTCTGCAGAAAATTTTCTCCCTCCATTCTGTGTAAAACAGAACAACAAAAGTATAAAAACTAATTCAATCTCACATCACCCTGAAGGATTTCTCAAACTCCTTAGGAACCTCTTGGTAGGCTCCCTGTTCATGTTAGAAGCAGTCTGTGTCATCCAGGTCTAGAGTCTCAAAGGGAGATTTCCTGTGCATAAGCAGTGCTGGAATTCAGGCCTCCATGTTTCAAGCAGAGCCAACCCTACTATTGCAGCCTTAAAATGTGCTAATAAAGAAATCAATGGAACGAATGAGACATGCCTGTAATAAACAGAACACAGCAGCAATGCTATGATCTCCTGCCTTGCAGATATATTTTAAGTATGGTGCCAATCACTAGGCCGCCATGTGAGCTATTACACCACTTCATTAATTCTCCTGGCATGGAGCCCAGCATGGCTGGTACTGGTGTCTTGTGATCTATCTGGTTTGGGCAGTAAAAAGAGAAAGGAGGGAAGGAAGGAAGGAAGGTAGGAAGGAATATATAACAGTGTGCCACAAAGTTCACAAAGAAAGGCAATCTGGTTGTGACTCTTTCCCTAGGAGCAACCTCAGAGCCCACTAACCAACCTCAGAGCTCTTCAAGGCAACAATTTTACTTCCCCCTTGTAGTTGGTACTTTCAGCCAGCATGAAAAGGAACAAAACAGACCGAGTCACGGCTCAGATATGAAACTTTAATGAGATGTTCTTCCATGCACCCAGAAGTTAATTTTCAGAATGGCTTTCTCTGTGCTGTGAACATTGATAACGAGATGAAACTGTAATGTTTCCATTGACAGCTACACAAGGAGTCTCCACGTATTTCTGTCAGTCAGAGTGGGAGGATGAGATGGGGTTTAGCAGCATGATACAACGAACTTTGTCAGTACAGCAGAGCTTGTGCAGCTTCTGCTGTCACAAGTGAACTACTAAGTATAGTCCAAAATTTGACCAGAGAGCCTTGACTGGCCTCACAAAACTGTTCATGTGTTTTGTTGCACACCTCAGAGTCAGTGTCTGATGGGAGCTACCCCTTAGATCAGCATGATTTTCTGTAGTGCTGATGGCTACCTGGAGGAAATGATAAAAGTTCAGCCCAGTCGTGTTTGTGTAGGGGAGGGAAGTAAGGATGAGCTGTTCCTTTGACATCATTTGTCAATGCCAGACTGCATTCAGGCTTTGGTTGTAATTAATCCCCATTGCTGAAAGCCTGTATTGCACAAATCCTGCATATGTACATATATGCAGAACAGTGTGCCATAGATTTAAGCAGGTATCTTTAGACCTTTGAGGGAAAGAGGAGCTGTGGGAATAATTCCGCTAACTGCAGAAACTGTACAATAAGGCAGTCTGTGGAGAGAGAGTCCCTGAAATGCTAAAGTAACCCAACAAATCTTTGCATCTCTCCAGGAGCAGGGGAGTTCTGTGAGCAAACAGCAGACAACGAAGGAAGCGGAGGATGTGGTAGGATGCTGCTTCTATTAGTTCAGATCTCTTTGGCTCTCCCTCCTCTTTACCCTTCCAAGCGATGACATGCAGAGACAATCCCTCATCTCTTTCAACAGTGATTCTTCCCAGCACACTGCCTTGCAGTGCTTCAGAATGTTAGATACTGAGCAATCCCTCCTACTTGTCTCTAGGCAAGAAAAATGAGTTTCTTTTGGTAAATCTCTGAACATAAATGATCTGAGCTTGATTTCTGCCTCTGCTGTGGGCATTCATGGTAGTCTTAGACAAGTCACATTACCCCTTCTGTGCTTCAGTTCTCAATCTTAACAAGTCATTATAGAGCCCAAGTTGTTCTGAACATAATCTGAAATTATATCTATAAGAGTCTTGGAAAAGTAGAAAGTAGGAACTTTTTTCTCTTTTCTTGAATGAAAAGAGCTCTCAAATAGAAGAATTGATAGGGAATACTGTTGAGTTACAATTCTTGGGAATCTGTGATGATCCTTCCTAATTCCCCGTTGCTCCTTATAGAAAGCTGACAAAGTACATTTTTGCCATCTCTGCAGTTCTCTCCATTTCACTTATTGTGAAACGACACCGTGTCCCTCAGGAAGGAGATTGCTGCAGGCCACCAGGTGATGGAGAATCCATATGGCAGTGCTGCTTTCTGTGCTGCCTCTAAACCTCTTGATTGCAAGCAACCACAAGCTGAGACCAAGCCAACGTGTAAAGTTGGCTTTCTCCAGCACCAGACACTATTCCCAAAGAGGCAATCAGTACAGGCCCACAATTACCTGACTGTATATGCAGCAGCTCTCCCCCATCAGCTTCTCTGTTGGGAACCCCTGGAGAAATCCAGAAATCTGTGCATTGTGGGAAGAACAATGTTGTTTATGTCCTCTAATTTTATTGAGAGGAAAGCCATTGTGCATGTTGGTGGCATAAATAAAGGAAAAAGCAACTGCCAAGCCCAGCACAGTCCATACCTCTGCTCTCAGCTTCCTCTAGCATATGCTGGGTATACTTTGCAGACCCACCAGCCCATATACATCAGAAAAAAGAAAACAAAAACAAAAAACAAAACATTTTCATCAATTCTGTGATTCTGTGATACTCATTAGAATTAATTGCTGTCTCTTTTTGAGCTCAGGATATCTGTAACACCCAATACAGTGTGTGTTTGTTAGAAATGCTGATAGATATCATCTAGGTCCTAATTTGCTTACCTTTGTATTCGATCTATCTGTGATGAGATAATTCAGAATAGAGCAACTCAGTTGCTGTACACCTCAGTGTCCAAGGACCGTTTCTGATTTAATGTCAGGACATGATGCTGCGCATATTCTTTCTCTTCCATACAGTTCTGTATACAAATGTGTGCATGTTATCTAAAACATACGCAAATGTCCAGGTCCAGATATTGTTAGTGTTGCAAATTTAGGCTCTTAAAATTAGAAAATGCCAGAATTCATAATTTTTATCCCATCTCTCCAGGAGTTTCCATTGCACTCTGTTCCCATCTCTTTCCCTGTTCTCCTCTGCACTCCAGCCTTGCCAACTTCTCCCACTCATTTCTGCTTCACATTTGGTCCCATGTCCCAGATTCTTTTCTCTTTTTCACTATATTCCAACTCTGATTTCCCCTACCTGGTTTTCCCAGCTCTCAGTCTCAGATCTAACTCCTGTTATTTGTGCACTCAGAAGAGGTTCTGCATTTTGGTACTTTGTGACAACCTCAGTCACAATAGCTTGTTCTATCAGTTTTAGGGAAAAAAGAAGATCTGTGAAGCATTGCCAACACAGGTTGAATTTTCATCCTGATTCTCTAGAGAATTTCCATTAGTAAATACAATCTTCCCTGATTCTAGTGGTTATGTTTGCATACATTTTTCCAGAAAATCTGAATAAATCATCACATTTTCCTTTCACATTTAAGTATGCTAGAAATTTTCACTTTTTATGGCAAAAGCATATTTAATTTAAGTAAGATTTTAATAGTGGGCACAAAGATGAAACCAGTCTGAAGCAGACAAACAGAAAAGAAAATCTCTGAGTTATTAAATTGGTAGTAAGTCATAAGCAGTTTGAAATGAGGATTATGAAGGGAAATATCAGACAGCCTTATTAATAAGTGCTAATATAAGCCTTACCTGTAATACATTTCAAGGTACATTAAAAGAGCTTTAAGTCTGCAAAATTAAGTGCTGAAAATTTAAGATATGCTACTTTTTAGATTATAAGTATAAAATTAACTTGGTCCCAAAATATTCATGTACACTGGGATAAGTTCATTAATTACGAGCTTATACAGGTTTTTTTCCACCAAAACTTTGTCTCATTTGGTATTTTTATGGTGTGAGGTTTTTTGAATAAGCATCTGTTTAATTTATTCTCATCCTTTTTTATGGATCCATTTGAAATTTCATCTCGCCACATCCGAGCCTTGCTGTGGATGCAAGGTAGGATTTTCATCAAAGTATTTTAAGCTTACAAATATTAACTACATCAAAAACAGGGGAACCTGCAGCTTGCAATTAGCTGTGAACATCTCCTTTTAAAGCACCTTTTCATTTGCATTCACAGAAGGACTCTGTTGCAGGCATAGAGAGCTTGATTCTTCAGTATGTCAACCAGCTGCCTCCTCACAACGTTGTCCTTTGTAGCACCACACTTCCCTCACTTGACCACTGGCTTTCCAATTTCTGCAAAAGTAAACTAGAGGCATTGTGGACAGCAGCAGACCCACTGCCTCATGTTCACTTATCTACAGAGCACAGCATAGCCTGTTTGGGCTTTGCTTTTGAGTACTGCACTCTGTATTCTTTACACTCTTTTAATATAGGGGTCTGTTTCACTTTTTAAATTAAGATCTCTTAAAGGATCTATGTCTTAATCATTTGAACTCGTATATTAATTAATGAACTGATTTGCAATTTCACAGAAAGTCTATTTGTGCTTGAGGAGTAAACAGCTGTAAGATGGCTGAGGGCTAGATGCTGGGTTTTCTCATATAGTTCTAAATAGAACTGAAGCTTTAATTGCAAAATAGCACTCAACCTTAACTACAGCTGCTACTTTAATTACAGCCCTACCTGCAGTTACTGCCTTCAGTACAGCCTGCACTACCCGCTGCTCCTCAGACTATTTCTTCAGTCTCTCCCTGCATTACTTTGCTATGTGATCTGTGGCTGTTGCTTTCCCCACAGGATGCTCTAACATGCCTCCTTCTTGTGAGGAATTCTCTTTCTCTATTTTACTTCTCCTCTCACGTTCCCCCTCATCTCAGCCCTTTGCTGCCCAGCACAGTGTTCCACGTAGGCATTCTTTTGCTCTAGTGGGTAGCTTCTGTCTCCAAAAGCCAGCTAAGAGATAGCAGTTAACTTGGGGGAAGCATCCCAGCAACACCAAAAACAGCCGACACAAGAGGGTTTCAGTGTATCTCCTATATAGAAGTATCTTTAAGCAAAGAGAGAACAAGACTTCTTCCTCCCTCTCTACAGAAATACTGCCTCCAGCTGTGAGGTGTAAAGAGAAACATTTCTTCTTCCCCAAATAGTATCTTCCTAAGGCATGGATCCAAAGTACACGAGTGTGGAGATTCGTCTTTAAAGGGACCTGTCAGAAAGTGCAATACATGATTTGTCACATTATAGAGCAGGATTGTACAGTACAGCTCTCCCCCTTCTCCCTCATCAACCTTCTCTGGAAAAGCAGTTGTTGCATAAACCATACACAGGCAGTAGGTTTATCTGTGTACTGTGCAGATCTCTCTTACCTATGTATTGAGACAGGAGGTCAGAACTGCTTGCACAAATCAGAGGCACATCACATCTGCACTGGAGATACAGCACTGGTTGTCTCAAATGTGCTCTAGCTTTACTGTATCAATGTGTCAAGATCAAAACCTACTTGTCTAGTTTTTCAGATGAGATTCATGGAGATTCATCTTTGATGCATCTTACTGATTACATAACCCCTGTCTGGACTTGTATTGGTTTTCACCATTTCACTTTGGATTATTTTCTCTGGTCGAAGTCCCATGTAAATGCTTTGCTAAGGGCCTACAAGATCTGTTAAGATTCCTGTGTCCAAGAGTTACAGCTGTGAATGAGCGTTCAGAGAGCCCTTCCTGCCCCAGGCAGACTAGCCTTGAAATAAACACTGCCAACACTGGGACTTTTTTGCAGCAGTACCCAGAGGCAGCAGCTGCTTCTTTATCTTGCTGAGCTGTATACTTATTTATTATCAAGAGCAAACTGTGGCTTTTGCTGCACAGAGATGTAGCCGAAGGATGAGGAAATGGCCTAGGGAAAGAAGGAAGGAATATACTGAATATTGAATAATTATTGATAAGAGCCAAAGAAATACTCAGGACTCTGTAGAAAGATAAATAGATTTTTTATTAAATTTTAGCTTTCTCTTTAAAGCAGTTGAAGGTCCTTTGTGATTGGCAGCATGGAAATGAGTTTTCTACAGATTTCTGGCTGGCCAGAGGAACCTGTTTAGAGCTGTTTGCCAAGACAGTGCTGCAGATATCCTGATAGTGTGTGCTGGCAAGAATTCAGAGTGGCTATGCCAGAAATCTGAGCTCTCTGGGCAGTTGCAGTGCAGCTGTTGAATGATTGAATCAATTCAACTTGTTGAAATTATTTATTGTAACATTTTCTCCGCCCATTCTGTTAGGTTTTAGCAGAATTTCACCAGTGTCTTGAAAGACACCTTGCAGCCTCCACACTCAACAGACATCAGGGGAGTAAAATGCTTTAAGTGCATTTAGATTCCTAACTGGGTATCTACCCAGTTCATCATCTTCACAATACTTACATTCTTGTTTTCAAGGATATTTGCAAGATGGTTGTATACCTCAGCATTTGCAGTTATGAATTCTGAAATCTGTCTTTGTTGGAGTTGCAAATTTCTGGGAGGTAGGAAAGCAGCAGTGGTGTTGCTCTCATTTTAGTCAGAGCAGCAGACTTATGGTGAGGTTTTGGTCAACCAGTTGCGGCCAGCAGCAAATTTTAATAACTCATGTGTGGCTGCCAAAGACAGAGCTGCCAAAAGAGCCCAGTGGGTCTGTCCTCCCCACTGGGTTCAAGTACTTTCTCACCTCCCAGAGCATCCAAAGGTGAACTCTATCCAGCTCTCCAAGGCAAGACATTTCTTGTCTTGATAGACCTTTCAAGGTTTATAAAATCAGGTCTAGATTACTGAATTACTGAATGCATAGGGTTGGTCATAATACCTGTGATAGCCTCCTAAAGAAGAAGTGCTATTAGATAGTATGCTAACCTTCCAAGTCCCACCTTCCCCGAAGTTTGTGAGGGATCAGTTATATTCTATTTCTCCTTGCTTAAGCTTTGTATTCAAGGTAGCTGCAGTTCTAGTTGTACTCCAAGTATATTATCACAGTCTGCCAAAAGCTGTGATAGCAAATCAGATGTGCCATGCACTCAGGATGATATTTTACCATAAGTGTAATGTGTATGGAAAGGTAATTAATGGACTGTCTCACTGGGCATTAAAGTAGAATCCTAGCACAAAGCTAACCTCACTGTGCTTCTGTTTTGCTCATTACTTTGTGAGACAGGTATTGCCCAACCATGATTGTGTTTGTCACAAGAAACAAATGCACAAATGAAGACAGGCTCAGGGACTGCTGGGAGGTGTCAGTATAAACAATAGTGAGATTTGCACACAGGTCTCAGACAGTTTGCATCCCTTTTACTTGTCAAGTTACTTTAATGAGGGCTATAAAAATAAATAGCCATGGCTATAATCTTTAGGAATTAAAATTATTACCTGGCAAGTGGAAGTAATTAACTATTCTCAGCCAGGAATCAAGGAAGAGATAGATGGGTGGAAGGATGTGAAGAGAATATATTAGCTCAAAAGGTAACAGTGCTGTTGTCCATCCTTTTTATGTGGTGTTTTGCTGTTGCTTTTTTTTTTTTTTTAGAAAAATAAATTGCTTGTTCAAATCATGTACTGGCAGCTTTTATGACTGCTGGAGTAATTGAGAGCACTCTTAGCAGAAGAGGTGAAGAGGTGCAAGATATGGTTTGGAGATACATGCATTGGCTCTGAAAACATTTAATTTTCTTTCCCCTAAAAGACCTTGCAGTGTGTGTCTTCCTTCCAGTTATATATATGGCCAAGTGAAAGTAAAGAGTTAGAGGGCTGGAATTTTATGTAATCACGAAATATGCCTGCTCTTTCATTCCTTTTAGGAAATTCATATTAGGGCCATTGAATTTTGAATTATGCTAGTTGTTGACCATTTCTGGGTTTGTCTGAGAAATATCTTCTCATTACAGTAATAAAAAGGGCTGTTTTTGCAAACTTGCTTTCTGTGTAAGTGAGCCAATCCTGATTCTGGTAAGCAAAGTGGAAATGCAGGTAGTTCATAAATACATGCTCATCTCACTATTTTGTGTTACAGATCACCGCATTACGCCTGCCCTGAAGTTATCCGGGTAAGTTGATTAAAATCAATGTATGTTTTCTTCAAAGTGTCACTAATTGTATGTATTATATATATATGTCTGTATGCAGACAGACCCTCTTACAGGAGGTCTGTCCAAGACAGACAGCGAAAGGAGAGAATAAACATGCTGTAACTTTGGTTGTTTGGTTCAGCCCTGAGTCAAGCCACATCAGCCATCTGAGGGAAATAATCCTGTGTTGTTCTCACAGTACTTTTGTGCCATGTTATCAGACAGAAAAGCAGTAGCCTCGTTTAACTTGGTCTTTCCACTCTATACACCTGTGCCTTTTCTTCCCCATTGTAGCTATTTCAGAAGAACTGGAGTTGGCTGTCAGTGACACTGGATTCTTTTAAATGATAGGAGCTATCCTTTCCCCCCTTCCATTCCTTTTGTCTTCGTAAAATAAGTATTGAATATTACAGTGGCCAAGTTTCCCCCCTTTTTTTTAGATGTTCTTTTTTATTATTTTATATTTTTCTGATTGTTTGGGTTGGAAGGGATCTTAAAGATCATCAGTTTCCAACTCCCTTGCCATGGACAGTGACATTCCCACTAGACCAGGTTGCTGAAACTCTATCCAACCTGACTTTGAACACTTATAGGGAGGGGGCATCCACATCTTCTCTGAGTAATCTGTTCCACTGACTCACCACCCTTAAAATAAGAAGAATTCTTCCTTATATCTAAGATAAATATACCATTATCCCTTGTTTTATAAAACTCCCTGGAAAAGTTGCTCTTCAGCTTTCCTGTGAACTCCCTTTTGGTACTGAAAGGCTGCAGTGAGGCCTCACCTCCAGGTTGAAGAACTCTCTCAGCCTGTCTTTGTAGAGAGGTGCTCCAGCCCTCTGTTCATCCTTCTGGCCTCCTCTGGACCCACTCTAACAGATCTGTGTCCTCCTTAGGTTGGGGACCTGAGAGCTGAATGCAAATGGGGTCTTACAAGAGGAGCATATCACCCTTTTGAAGCATATCACTAATGTAGAGCCAAACATGCATACAAAAGACACTGTCCAGCCCATACGATGAGTTCACAAATAATGTGACTGATGACAAGCTCCCTGAAGAGCTAGGAAGGAGAAAAGCAAATTCTTGATGCCCTTAGTACACCTCTGCCTCTGTTTCAGGATCAGTACTAAAAAATTTCCAGTCCTCAGCCATTCCTGCTGTTTCCTTCTTCTGACCCTGTTCTCATGGAACCTAGATAACTGTAAACTGCTGTTCATAAAAAAAAAAAATTAATGTGCTGCATCTTGGCCTCCTGGTTGGAAAGGCCACCTTGGGAAGCAGGTGGCAGAATCAAAATGTGTGGTTACCCATTCTCCCCACTCTTGTTCTTCGAGAATAATGAATTCATTTACCAGTGAGCACATTTTTGAGTCTCTGTGTCATTGCTGCACAGGGAGAAAAGTATGATGGAAGGAAAGCAGACGTCTGGAGCTGTGGAGTCATCTTATTTGCGTTGCTAGTGGTGAGTCATCTTCCTCGCTCTATTCTTATAAAAAAAAAAAAAAGAAATATTCACCAATGCTGCTGGATTTAATGGTGATTCTACTGACATCATGTACAGATAGGGTTTTTTTTTCGTTCTCCTATTTTTGTATCTCTCAACTGCATCCTTTCCTCTTAGTCCTGCATCAGTCCCAGAGGAAAAGCATGAAGAATATTTCACTGCTGCTTTGAAATGCGGCTGTCCTGCACATGAGAACTAAGACAAGTGTCAAAGAGTTGCTTCCATAAATATCATTTGCTGTGTTGTAGTGCTGCAGCACTTTGAAGAGCCCCATTTGAAGCACACTGAATTTTTTGATCCAAACGGGTGTGCCACTCCAAGACACAGAAATTGTTGCCCTTCACAGGATTAAACATGGCAGGTTTCTGCAAGTGTTTGGTTTTTTTCTGCTGTATGTATATGTACATTTCATTAGGTATATGCATACGTTAACCGCAGTCTTTTATCAAGAGAAGATTTGAGTGCAACAATTTTGTTTCATGCAAGTATTGGGCTATATTTTAATTTAGTTCACTAGAGAACATAAAACTGAGCCAACAGTATGAAGTATAAATTACTTTCCATCTGGCTCACTTGGAGTACTTTTCTTAGTATTCAAAATGCGGTATCTTGTAACTTATCCTTCTTTTGATCAAAGTTTCAATTCTCTGTGGAATTTATTCTGATTTACAGTATAATGTAGCGTTCCCAAATATACAATAATCGGATGTCCAGCTCAAAGCGAATAGGTTTGGCATTTGTTATTAATTCCCATGGTACAGTGTAGGAAAACACAGATATATGCTTATATAAGCATGATGTTACTATGCGCAGAATTAATGGCTTATATGAGAACAGATTTAATGCACGTTAAGTATTTTATATTTGTAATAGTTTAAGTGATGGTCTACAATTTTAAAAACAAGAAGCCTGAAGCTAAGTATTGATGTCCTTTTATTAGTATTTTCAGTTACTAATTCTTCACTTAAATGTTTATTTTGATAGAAGCACTTGTTCACTGAGACTAAAACTCAGTTGGAGTTAGATTCTGTTCATAATTTTGGCTTGAAGTACTTCTTATACTTATTGTAAAGTATATTTTTTTCCAAAAAATTCACTGATAATTTTTTTAGCGGTTAGAATTCATGTATCTTGTAATATTCTGAGCATGATGCTTTAATTCTCCTTAACCAGTTTTATTATTTTTAGTTATTATAGTTTATTGACAATTTAAAATTTTAGATATTTTTTTATCTCGATGCTGCACGGGAAGAGTTTTACCCATCTCACCAAGTATCACCTGGAATATCTTGCTCCTAACCAACTATTTGCACAGGTGATAAAGTAGCTATAAAATGAGTTCCTGCTGTGACATCTTGAGTTTGTAAGAAAAGGCAAGAGAGGTTGGCAAGGTGATTGGGAAGTGTAGGTGCGGACTCTTGTTTGAAGATGGTTTCTGTGTCAAGATTTGGTGTCCCTCTGTTGCTGGGAAGCATCTTTGTCTGTTTCTACATATATACACAAGCCTGCAAAATGACTGAAATGAGTCTATTATTGACAGAGAGTGCAGAGCTGTCCAGTTAATTATGCCAGGAAAAACTGCAAAAATTCTCAAGCTCTAATAACAGGTGGTGGTAATAAAAGATCTGTAGTTGTTACCTTCAGGAAATCCACAAAGCAGCCTTGCTGACTTCATTGTGGATTAAATTGTGTTAGCCAAAGTACTGAACTATCAGAATTGATTTTCCCGTAAGTCTGGGACTGTAAGGAAAAAAGTAGGTAACTCAAGAGGTTGGTTGTGAAAGACAGGGAGGCTCTTTCTTCATGGCTGCTTGAATGAACAACAGTAAATAGCATCCAGTAGTTGTTGCCATCAGGTAGATTTTCCAAGGCTTCTGTAAATTAAGCTGTTGGTCTCAGCAAACTGTGGACACAAGAATCACACAAGAATCACAAGAATCACAAGGTTGGAAACGACCTATAAGATCATCCAGTCCAACCGTCTCCTCATCACCGTTGCCACCACAAGCACTAAACCACATCATGCAGCACGTCATCCAGACGCCTCTTGAACACTGCCAGGGACGGTGACTCCACCACCTCCCTGGGCAGCCATTCCAGTGCCTGACCACTCTCTGAGAGAAGAAGTTCTTCCTTATGTCCAACCTGAACCTCCTCTGATATAACTTGCGGCCATTGCCCCGTGTCCTGCTCGTTGCCTGGGAGAAGAGGCCAGATCCCTCTTCACCACAGCCTCCCTTCAGGAGGTTGTACAGTGCAATGAGGTCTCCTCTGAGCCTCCTCAGGCCTGCTTATACAGATGCAGTACTCACTGTAGTAAGAACAGTGCCAGCACTAACAACTGAAAGCTTCATTATCACGGCAGCTGACAGCTTGCAACTTCCCACAACCTCTCCTGGAAGCCAAGGAAGCTCAGCACGTAGTGAAAGAGTGAAGTGAGAATATCATGGAAGGTGCATACTTGCTATAAAAGTGGAGTTATCCTAAAGATTTCTACTCTCTTCCTTTTTGTCTTTGCAGCAAGGATAGGCTTTTTGCTGCTTTTTGTGGCCAGCTGATGATCTATTCAAAATGAAATTTGATCTTAAAAAAGCTCAGGCTATTCACTTAAGTGAGCTGCAGTAGGGAAGCAGTAGGAACTGATGACCTGACTGCAGCATGGGAACTGGATGGAGTATGTTAACCAGGCAGAACGTCTGCTGCTTCCAGAGGGCTGATGTTGGTTAGGGCTTTTTTCAGCTGTGTCATTCCACTGCTCCATCAGAAAGAGGATATTCTTTACTGAAAGTCACTCAAATGCTGTTCACCTCTTTTCCAATGTCTGCAATAAATGTGTCTCAGGAAGATTAAAAGTAAGGAAAGGATAAACATTGCTGCAGTGAAAGTATGCCCAGGAGGAACACCAGCAGATCAAAAGCTTGAGCTGAATTTAACTGAATACATGCATCTTTGCTGAATTTGCCTGGAAAGGCAATTTCATATTATGTATTATGCTTTATACTGGTAGTCATTTTCTAATTAAAGCTTTAATAAAAAAACCTGTATATCCTCTGCTTTTTCCTTATGTTGGAGAAAATACAGCAGCACTAAGAAATTATTTATTTTCAGTGGATGAAAAGATTGTTTCACTTATTATAATACTTAATTACGAGCTGACGTTCTCTTTTCCTTTCTCTCATTGTGTTTATCCTGGTTTTCTCCTTTTGCTCTCTCCAACTCCCTTTCCCTGCTCTCTCCCATCCACGAATCCGTCACATCCCCACAGGGTGCCCTGCCATTCGATGACGACAACTTGCGGCAGCTGTTGGAGAAGGTGAAACGTGGAGTGTTCCACATGCCACACTTTATCCCTCCGGACTGTCAGAACCTCTTGCGGGGGATGATTGAAGTGGATGCCTCGAAACGTCTCACGGTAAGGAAGCATTTGCTGTAAGTCACGTGCTCAAGGCTTTGTTTGTCACCTCATTGCAGTTACAGTTGACTAACTAAGGTAACTTGGTTTACTGCCATTTCTGTGCATTTCCTCCTGAGCAAAATATGAGTGAAGTTGGTGGAGGTTTGGAAAGAGGTTACTCACCTTCCCTTTAAAATGATGGGTCCAGATTGCCTTTATGATGCTTCTCTATCTTCGTAATTCTTCCTCATGTGCTGCAGTGGGTATTTAGAATGACTCCTTCATAATCTGATCACAGTGCTACTGACCCATTAGCACATTTTGGAATCTGCCTGGGCAGTCTGGCTCTCCTGGTGGCTGTGCCAGTTTATCAGGGACGTGATGTAATTGCTTGAAGGTCAAACACAGTACGCTCCTTTTTCATTTCTGACCAAAGTGTGACTTCTCACTTCAAGCCACACAGCTGCATTGTATTCTGCCCTATGTGTGCTCTGCATTATCTTCTAGCAGCCTTCAGAGCAGGTGCCTTGTAGTCTGCTGTTTCATGTTGTGCCCTGTGGTCCTGAGCATGATTAGGCCTGCAGTGCTGAGCTCCAGGCATTCAGCACTGCATCTTTGTAGCTAGGATATAGCCCATCACTATGACAGAGAGCCTGCATGGATGAGCACTGTGTAGTGATTGTATCCTTCATTAATGCTGTGTTAATGTTTGAGGGAATTAAAAAAAATTAGCAGTTAAAATCATTTTGGAAAGCAAGCTTGCCTGCTTGTCCCTGGAAGCTTCAGCCTTTATGGGTACATTGCCCTTGTAAATCCTATTGTCAGGCTCTGCTGATGATTTTATACAGATCTACTAAGCTCACAGATTCTGAGTGGGAGTATGTATAAAGAAATGTAAATTTAAAACTCCTCCTGGTTCTTCAGTCTGCTAAAATATTTATAAATAAACTTGCAGATCAGTGCTTGGCCTCTCTGTTGAGATTGCTAACAACAGCATCAGTCTTCACCAGCTGTGATGGTGCTTTTGGGATGCAGACACCTGTCTGCTAAAAAGTGAACTTAAACTCCCTTCACAGCTCTCTTTACAGTACTACCTGACAGCTGCAGCCAGGTTTTTATTTTGTTCATTACAAAACGAGGTCATATTCTGTTTGGAGATGTAGGTGAGAAGTTCTTCGTGGTATTACTGGTATCCTTACCTTTGCAAACCTAGTAGCTGTGACATTGCAGTGAAGGAATAGCACTAATATAAAACCAGGTATATATATGAAGCACTTTAAAAGCCCTTTTTCATTAGATTTTTAACAAAAGAATGAAAATGATTATTTTTTCCAAGTATTTTCGTGGACAGAATGCTGCAGAGGCAAGGGCTGTGTCCTAAGACCGGAGAGCTGTTCTCTATGACCAAGTCACTAAACCAGTCTCTGAATGTTTCTTTTCCATAATGTAAATTTAACAGTATGCTTTACCTCACAAACTAGATGGAACAAAACAGTAAGGCAACAGAGGGGCCACAGAGGGGCCACAGTGGGTGGATAGATTAGACCTTGAATGATGAGTGTGCTACCTTTTGCCTCCCAGATAAATAGACTACTGCTTTTGCTCAGGAAACCAGCACAATACAGAACAGATGAAATGTTCTTATTTTTCTCTCAAAGATCTTAGTGCAGATGGCTTGAGTATGCCAATGAGCACAGATCATCAGACATCAGATCTTCTTCAAAATGTTAGGATTTAATTTTGCCAGAGAACACTCTAATTTCTTAACTTTGCCTGAAGATTTAAAATTGTGTGGTACAGCAGAGACTGTACACGCACAAGAGTGAAAAACATTAAGGTAAATCAAGGTCCCATAGTGATCCCCCCATTTTCTTGATCAGAAAGAAGCTCTTATTTCCTTAGGGAATTGTTATTGACAAGTACTGTGACTAAGAATTTGAAGTAAAATGCATGTAAGAGCTGAGAGCTGAGAGGAAAAAGAATAGGTCTTTGTTACTAGCTGCAATCTTATTTTCATTATTGTAGGGTCTCTTGGTTTGCTGTCCCTGCTGCTGTCACACTTCCCTTTCTATGCTGTTAGTGTTGTGGGTACTTAAAGCGCCAGGCAGAATGGAGCTCTTTGTTTACTGCACAGGATCTAGGAATATGTAATTCATTTCAAGGAGAGGTCTGAGTTTTATTTTAGCTGTGTCCTGCAAATAAAAGAGGATATAAGCATGGGCTTATTTGGAAGCCTGTATTCCTAGAAAATGTCTTACTTGAATCAATTTGATATTTATATAAAAAATGTGAGCAAAATTGTGGCTTGGGTACAATAAGGGCCAATGTACTGATCATTTGTTCAGTATCTTACTGCTGAATTCCACAGAAAAATATAGTGATTATAGGGTCACTAGGATTTTTTCTTCTATTTTTCACTTCTCTATCTATTTTTCACTTCTCTACTCTGCTTTGTTTCTTTTTTTCATGTGTATCTTTTTTCCTTTTCATCCAACTGCATTTCCCCAATGCAGTAATTGCCATTTCACAGTACACCCACACCTTCCCCAGTCCATCTGTTAAAATGATCAACAAAAACAGATCTAACTTTCATGTTCAACTGTCATTGTTAGGCTTCGGTGTTAGAGCTTGAGACAATTATTGGAGGAGAGGGCACTCAGAAGTATTGTTGCTGGCCCTTTCCTGCCTTAGGAAGTTGGCATTATGTTTTGTTATATATGAGTCATTTATAGAAAGAGGAATTCATTATGTCTTAGTGGAATAAGGTTCACACTCACTGTGTATTCTGTGGTCTGAAGGATGGATAGTCAGATGTGCCTGAGTGCTACCCTTTACTAGGCTTGTTCAGCTAAGCATGCTTTAGGTAAAAGAATCCGTATTTTTCTTTCAGTAGAAGGAGCCCCTGACTGCTGGGTGTGGTATTTCTGACTGCCCATGCTCAGTAAAGCTTAAATCAAACAGGCAGTACTGCAAAGGAGGAATGCTCAGACGGTGGGAATTGGAGTGAGTTTCCCTGAATAGCACAGCCTAAAAAAACTTGACTTAGTCTACCTACATGATGTCTGAGAGAGAATGTACTAGTCATCCACGTATGCACTGGAGGTAATTATCAGGGAGAAAAGGAAGGAAGATACTAGCACAAAAGCAAATGTATGTCAAGTAGTTTCATGTCAAAACATGAAACTAGCCTGGAAATGAGAAGAAGCATTCTAGCCCTGTCAATGGGATATGGGGACAGCTTTCTATCAGAAGTAGTGTCTGGAGGGAAAAGTGAACTACTTTTAGCTTTTGTAAGGCTTATGGAAGACAGTGTGAGCTCTTGGTGCTTGCAGTACTGCAGGATATGATTCCTTTCAATTATGTGTACTTCGAAAAGTGAATGTGTTTTCCTTTGAGGTTTCCAATGACTCAGCATCTCTGCAGTGGAGAATTACAGTTCCTGTGGTGGAATCCATTTGCATTGTCTGACGCTTTCTTCCACAGAAACAGAAAGGCAAAGAGGAGAAGGAAGGAGCTTTGGTCCACTTTCCTGTTAAAGAAGAGTGAGCGTTGTCAAGAGTGTTGTACGACAAGTAGGGTCAGGGCAGATCAGTTATTGCACTGATCTATGGAAACTATTCCAAACTATGGGTTGTGATAAAGCTGTTATTGTTCCCAGTGCTGACATTTTACTTGAGAATAAAATGACTTGTGTTGGATGTCCACATACATGTTAATGCTGAAATATTAGCCAAGTTAAATTACCCAAATTTTCAGTCTCCTCTCGGCTGTTCTTTTTTTATTTTTTTTTTTTTCCTGGAGTCTCATGTATGCTATAATGATATTATCTTTAATGCTTCTCAATTTCTAAAGCACGATAGAAAAAACGATGGAGGGAAAAATGATCCTGATTCCTTCTTTTTTTCTAGCTCTTTTGGTAAGATGCCTATCACATCATTCAAACTGTTTTACTTCACCACCTGTGGAGTGGAGGCAGTTGTCCAGTTGATGTACACAGGCAGTAAGCTTTTGGTTACCACAGGCCTATTCTTACAGTGTGCACTTAGCACAGCAGTACCTTGCCCTTATTGAGGTCCCTGGAGGCTTCTATAGTATGACTGCTGCTACTGATGGAAGTGATGGTTCTCCTGCTGTTGGTGCTATCAGCTTGAATGCTTTGGTCAGGAAAAGCCTGTATCTTGACATTATATAGCTTAAAGTCTGAGCTTAAAGCTCAGACTAGAGAATCTTCTAACTGAAGAAGAATTATCTGAGATGTAGATTGAGTTAGTGCATGGATGGGTTTGAAACTGTTTGTTTTCTGGATGGGGAGGTTTGAAACCTGACATGAGTTCAAGCTTAGAAGCTCTCATCCTTTGGACTTTTAGAAAGTTTTTCTGCAGGTAAGAATGTTTCAGCTTGGCAACCAGTCTGCTAAGATCAGTACTGAGGATGTAGACGGCACTGTCTTGTTTTCCATCTGCCTGTCTGTCTCCATCTGTTGTTCCCTCTCAGTATTTAGACGTAAGCTCCTTGGGGGAGGAGACCTCCTTTTCTGATGAGCATGTACAGTTTTTCATCAAACTAGATTTAAGAATATGGGTCCTCAATGCTGCTTCAGTAATCAAGGTTAATATGTATAGGAAGTTCTTTTGTGTAAAACCATTATAAAGGAGTTTCCCAACTCCTTCCATCTCAGCATTTTAGCTTGCAGAATCTCTCCTCTGACTGTGCATGTGCAATGGAGCTAAACATGTTTTGTTGTTTCAGAGATGACATCATGAGGCAATTGCCTGCGGTGGCTAGGGGATGTTAGGAAGCAGCATTTTAACAACTTCCATAAAATGGCACTAATTTTGGCAAACTCATGTACAAACAGCAAGCAGAACACTCTGGGCTGTTAAATGCCTTTGTCACTTATATGCATTTAAACACTGTGTTTAAATGAAGGCAGGAGGAGTAAGATTAGCTCCCACTGTGTATCTCCCTCCCCTGCATTGCATAGTAAAAAGCATACAGACTTCTCCTTGTCAAAACCAATCGCCCTCCTGTAACCCTCCTGTCACTTTAATGCAGATGAAAAGCAACAAAGCATTAATTAATTACCTTTAAAAAAGCGGTGAAGATGTTGGCAGCAGCAAGTACGCACTTGTAATAACATTTCAATGCAATTACATTTGAATCAGAATAGAAATTGGTTTTGTGGAGTACCATTCATATCTGGGGTATCCCTGAGTACTTCACAGCAATGATTTTGATGTGGATGGAACTGCAGATTTGTAGGTAAACAGCAGCCATTGTGTTCTCACATGAGAGCTCTCAGACACCTTCAAATAAACGTATATCAAAGTGCTAGGGGGATTCTCTTTTAGAAAATTGCTGTGGGATCATTAGCTCAGAGGAGTTTGATCAGCAAGAATGAGCAGAAGGGATTTCTCTGTGACATCTCCTCTGAAGGAGCCCAGGGGGTCTGTGACTAACACAGGAACTGGTGGCTCTTCTTTTTCCCTCTCTGACTTACAGAATGAAGTGCTGTTTTTCTGCATATTGCAGTCAAAAAGAAAAATGTGACCCACAGAGACAGAAAATGCAGCAGAAGAAGCAAGCATGAAAGAGACTTGGACATCGCTTAGCTGTATCATCTGCATCTTGTCTGAAATCATTAACATCTCTAACCCTCCATGTGGTGTATAGGAAATAAGGAGCAGAGATGCATCTCTGTCTCTTTTCAGTGGTATCCAGTGCCAGGACAAGAGACAGGGGACACAAACTGACACACAGGAGGTTCTCTCTGACTGTCAGGCAGCACTTCTGTGCTGCATCAGTGCTGGAGCACTGGCACAGATTTCCCAGGGAGGCTGTGAGGGTGGGTCCTCCTGGGACGCTGTCTGGGCAGCCGGCTCTGCGCATTTCTGCTGGAGCAGGGGCTGGGACAGAGGGACCCAGAGGGCCTGGGATTCTGTGATCTTACAGAGTGGTTCTACAAAGCAAAAGAGGCTCACTCCTTAACAGATTCTTGCTGTAGTAAGCACCTGATAACTAACCGTTTTACAATCCTACCCTGTGAAAGGCATACAGAATAGGCTCTTCTCATTTGTTCGTGCCTCAGCTTGCAAAGGCCAAGAGGAAGAAGAGTGCATCGCTAGGTTGACAGGAGAACATACATAGATAGATATGGACGTTATCTTCTTGAATTAAGCCACTTAGGGGAAATGCCAGTGTGTCTTGAATACTCTGCCCTTCTTTTAATAGTGCAGCGGTGAAAGGACTTATTAATAGAGGAGACTGTGATGAAAGGAATTCCTTTGTCAGAGGCCTGCAGTCTGGGGTTCTGTTGTATACTGCAACACCGGAATGAACAGTAATAAGAAAAAAGACAGATGTGGCCCCATGTTCTCTTCTAGTTCAACTACCAGAGTTCCAATGTCTGGAAACCACATGATGTCAGGAGACACAGGTCTCACCTTCTGTCAAGCTTTCCTAGTTTGTATTCCCTTGTTTCTTTGTTTCTGATATGAGCCCTGTCTCACTTAAAAAATGATCTAATATAAAGCAGAAATGAGATCTTCTGGGTCTCCCAGGCAAGGAGCTGTTGTTCCATAGTGCAGAGGCCTCTGATTCCTGCCTCTCTGCAGTGAACACTTACTTTCTATCAGTGAAATTTTGTTGTGTGTCTACTCCTCTATTGTGGTGTTTGTTTTTTTCTTCCCCTTTTGCTCCCCAATTCTTATTATTCTGGAATTGAAGTGGAAAGTAATAGCAGGACAGCTGTCTCCGTTCTTTCGGACCGGTTTAATGGGCCAGTGGTTTCATCTTATAGCTTGAATTTCCTTCCAGCTCTCCACTGCCTCTCGCTCACATGTTGCACAAACAGAAGCCTGTTAGCAGTGAGTGTGCACATTGCTCTGCGTGTACAAAGGTTTTTCATAAAGGGAAAGCAAGAAATATCGTCCTCACAATGAATAATTTCTGGCTATTGATAAAAATTGCTTTTCTGTTGCGACAGTGCTTCAGAGAATAACTAGGTTGGGAAGATTCTGCTGTTCTGCTGTAATCTGAACAGTCTGGGATTTCGGAAAAAGCTGTTGCTTTTTTTTCCCCTTGTCTTTGTGAAATATGTGGTCATCGTGTAGCACGTTTGTTGGCATCTGGTTTTCATAGATGGACAAAGCCACTGCTTTGGTCAGTCCTTCATTACATAATAAAATGCTTGTATGTGAAGCAGAAAAGAGGGAAGCAAAAGAAATTTGAACCTAAACTCAAGGTGTTGGAACTATAAACAGTATTTTTCGACATTAAACCTTATTCCAATGGGTCTTTAGGTTTTTAATGGTAATTGTGAAGCCTAGCAAGCACAGTCTTGGCAGAACATGTCACAGGTACACACTTTGTTTTGTTCATGCATGCTACCTACTTCAGTTTTTATTTCCTTCTCTTGCTCTTTCCAAAACAAAGCTAGGAAAGAGCTTTTAGTGTAAACAGTCAGGCATTATGCACATATAGGAGGGTGCAGTTTATTATCTTCAATTGGATTGTAGAATGGAAGGAAGTAGGAAGGGAAAACAAACAGTCAAAGCACTTACCTATGAAGCGTTGTACTTATGTATTTTCCTGGGATTTGCTCCTGCCTTGTTCCCTTTTCCAGAGTTACAGCCTCATGTACACTGGGTGGGGTGAGGATGAGCGTGGTCTTCATGCAGTGAGAAGTTCCTCTCATCTGCATAGGTCCAGGTCTGGAGTGGTAAACTTGGTCCTTACTAGAGACAAGTCTTGAGTGGGGATGTCTTATGGAGTTTCCTCTTACGTTTTGCAGAGCTAATTTCTTGTTTTCTTTTCTTTGCAGCTAGAACATATTCAGAAACACATATGGTATATGTAAGTAACATTTTAAATTCACTTTTGCATGCAATCAGTATTGATCATGTTATGAAAGCTGGAATGCCAGGGATGATTGAAGAGAGAACAATAGATTTTGAGAGCAGATTTCACACAAGTGGAGAAAGAGGAAGAGAGCAGGAAGAATGTGGTTTTTTACCCTTTGCTACTAGTATGTTTTCATCTCTGTAGCTTCACGCTAGTAATTTTGCTTACAGTGACTACCAATTGTCTGAAATAAGTTGTTCAGTCCAGCAGCTTGCTGTTTTAAAAATATACCTAAAAGTGACTGTGTTTTTTTTAAAAAATAGCAGTCGTATTTGGTTTGCTCTTCAAGTGATACAGAGAATCCCTTGTAATACCATCTTGACAAGAAAGCTTTCGCTTGTTCCTTCTTGGCATCTTGGTTTTTCTCTGAATTAGAAACAAAAATGATTATATTGATAAATAAGCACCTATGAACAAGAGACTTTCTGTCTCAAAATCCCTGCTCCTTCTTCACAGCAAGCTAAGAGGCTGCTTGTGACCTTGTAACCTGTTGATGTGAGACTAGCTCTGTGACTTGATTAAAAGCAGCAGTCTTGACAGTGAAGCAGGAGGTCTGTGAGAAAAGAATGCACCTGTCGAGTGGTTTGGGCATAAGGAAGATTGATGGCTTTTAGAAGTGACCTTGCACTCCTGTGTATCCCTTACAGCATTTCAACAAACCTAAGTAAATAGCATTTTTTGTTTATACTCATGATAAGTTCATTAACCTGAGGATGTAAGGAAATGATACTTCAATACACGCTTCTGGGTGTCAGCATGCCTACACTTTCCCTGGGTGGGTGATAAGGAAAGTCCTACCTTCATAATCCTCCTCTCGCTGCTCTTGGGAAATATTTGAGGATGATATGAACTGATATTTAAGCCTGTCACTGGGAAAAAGAAACACCTTTGTTTTGATTTGTTTTGTTTTCTCTAAATCTATCTTATGGGCAGTGTTCAATTGCTGGCTTCACTGACTTCAATAGGACCCAAGGGCATTCAGCAGTTTGTAGAATACCATGTTTTCTTCTTAGTTCACCTGAAATGGTTATAGCACTCTGCCTGTGGCTTTTTCACATTCTCTACAGTTCCCAAGTAACATGGCACCTTCCAAAACCAGAGAAGGACTTGAGTCTTGTTTGCTGCAAGTTTTCTTTTGTTTGTTTGTGTAGTTCTCATGGATAAGTGCAGGAGAAATGGAGGGGATCTCTCTAATTGTAAGTCTGAATTAGCTCTCCTGTAAAGTCTGACAAGAAATTTCAGAAGTAAAATCTGTTTATACCAGGCTAGGCAGTTGGTCCCCTTTGTTTCTTCATGGAGTAAAATCAGCTGACTTCAGTTTCTCTGTGTCTTGATTGAAAGTGGAATAGAATCATAGAATCATGGAATCACAATAGGAAATAAAATTAAATATAATTGATTACTTTTATTATTGCTCTAACCATCCTTGAGATTTTTACATGCAGGTTTTCACCAATCAGAATATAGTATTTTCAGGCTCACATGCACAATTAGGCAGATATTTTTTGTTGTAGACATAAACATTTTCATGTGTTCCTTGATGAATCTAATACTGTTCTTATAAGTATAAACTGGGTTTTGCAAAAGCTAGTTCTCCCTGCACTCCCAGTACAGTCAGTGAAGAGAGAGAAAGGCTCCTTCAGAAGAGTGTTCAGATTGCCTAAAGCAGAGTTTCTGCTCAAAATAGCTTTTTAAATTAGTCTCTCTCCTTCTCTCTCTACTGGCCATGGATTGACCTAAGGAAGTTAACCTTCTTTGGCTAAATTTAGTCTGTGAATAACCCTAGAACCTTCAAAACTCCACTACTTTCATCTGATGATGTTTCACAGCCTCTTTGCATTCATTTTGCCTGGAAGTATTGATGCTGGCAGAGAAGGAGTGGTTACAAGTGTTTGTCGCTGTGGCTGTTTTGCTCGTATCTTTCATTTTTTCTTTATTTCATTTATAACTACTGTCCTATGTAAAGTCTTTACCCTTGTATATAAGCTACAGACCTGGAGGTTGTACTCAGAACATGATAAGTCATAATATTTGATTCTTCAAATAAATATTCAGGATTTTGTGAAACTGTGGAAAAAATTAATTGCAGTCTCAGCAGACAGAAAGGTCTTGAAAGTTGAAGTAATGATTCACAAGCCTAAAAAAAAAAGGAGAAACCAAAGAGAAACCTTTCATCACCAACCTCCACTTCTTATTCTTTCATCCAAATTAATTCAGTGAAGCTTTTAAACCATTTTTTAATTGAAATCATTTATTTTTACCTCAATTGCAGGTTATCATAAATCAGTGAAAAAACAGCAGCTGTTTTCACTTCTTTTCTTTAAATAAAACAAGAAGGCAAATAAATTAGCTGTTACAGTAAATACATACTTCTGTAGCACTGACTTATTGCCCTAATTGTGAAGATACCAAATTTACAGAAATCAGAAGAACAATGCTACCAGTGCTGCTTTCCTTTGCTTTAGTGTAAATGTGCATTTCAATGAGATTCGTGAGAGAATTTCATGGACAGACTGAAAAAGTCTGCCCTGTTCTGGAATCACATCCATTGTATGCACCATTCCTCACAAAGAGGCAGGGTTCTAAAGCAGCAATTACATTCATGCAAGACTTTAAAAAATATACGTGATTTGCAGTATTCATCGGTTGACATTGTTTGATGTCTATGTGGGTTGAAATGCAACAAATTTGTCACTCTGAACCAGACTGAGAATGGAACAGGCAATACAGGCATGCCAATCACAGCACAGACCTGGTGATTTTCATTTCCTGAAGCTCTGAATGCATTGCCAAATGACGAGGCACCTCTTTGCAGATTTTTCTTGTCCCTGATGAGTAGGTGTGAATATTCCTGCCTATGTCTGAGGCTGACCAGGTGCTGGGCATAAGGAAAAGCCACTTTTCATTGCACAGAAGATAATGGGTTGTTCTCTCCAGAAATAGCACCCAAGCTGATGGATATAAAAGATGATTGCAGGTGATACTTGCTAAAGACTCAGACAACTAGTAGGAAACCTGGATTTTCTGTGAATTTTCAAAAGCTGTGATTTCTTTTTAATATCTCAAATTACCTCAAAGACCTCTGCTTTTAATGTAATAAATGACTAATGAAGTCAGTTCCTTCTAAAAATGATTTCCATACCATTAGAAAACAAAAGCACTCAGCTGCTGTCCAAAGGTATGTCCTGCAAGCATTTATCTTAATGACAAGGTTCATCACTGGCTTTAGCTGTGCAAAGCTATGATCTAGTCTTTGCTTTTTCCTGCTGGGAGTTAAATCCTGACACACTCTGAGTAATAACCAGCTGTCAGAGTAGTTACCTCCTGAAGATAGGGCACTCACAGAGTAAGACATTTCTTTGGTTGGACAAGATTTCCCCAATTTAGCTCTTAGATTTAAGGACAATATCATCATTTCTCAAGATGTAGAGACTTCTGTGAGATTTCATGGAGGCATCATAAGCTGTATTTTAGAGGCTGAGACCTTGAGCTTTTACGAATGATATTTCTTTACTTCCTTTCTGACCTACTCAAGAAAAATTAGGGTTACATTTAAATTGGAGCTGCTTTTCTTCTGAAGGTACCTGGAGAGCTTGCTTCTGAGCTTAGACCACTTTAAGCCTTGTGTGTAAGTTCAGAATTTATGCTCGCCTTATTTCTGCCAGTATTAAAAGGAAGTCCTTTGTCCAAACTGCCATCTGATGCAGTTTAGGTATTCCCAATTTCTGTTGTCCACCCTGGGAGCTTGGACCCAACTGTCACATATTCACACCATGTAATAGAAAGGGAGGACCTCACCCAAAGAATATGTAAACCTCAACATCACACAGAACATCACAGCAAACTCAAATATTTAGATGGATAGAGTTGACATAAGTTGCTCCTTGCCCAGCTGAATAAAAGCAGTGGACGGTCGGGGTGCCTGAAATATGTATTATTCAGTCTGTTAGAGATATCCTGACATTTTGATCTGTTTTTATAGCCAGAGCTTTTAATTGCAATGAATAATCAATATTTCCTGACTCTGGTGAATGGAATGAGAGGATTATGAAGGAAGCCTGTGTTAACTACTTTTAGAAGAGTAATATACTCAGTAATATACTCTGCCACTAATGGTGTGTTCCTAGCTTCTCCATTGACCTCAGGCATCACACTTGGGCCAGAATTTTTTTGAAGAGAAACAGACGTTGTCATATTTTGGCATGTAAATAAAAAGCATGATTTTGCCCCAAATCCTTTGAAGTCTGTCAAATGGGAACCTTGATAGTGAGATCTCCTAAGCCACATTGGAAGTTTCCAAGTATGAAATGGCTGCAGTGCTTGTTGTAATCAGAACTGATGAAACGAGGGTTTGTTCACAGCTTGTTCTTTGAAAGGGAATCGTTCAGCTTGCACTTTTCATCCTGATAGCCTGAGGTCTGGCTGATGAGACAGCGTCTCTAAAATCATGTAGTGTTTTATAAATGTTTGGCATTAAGATGCTGAACAGCTGCTTAAATTATGAGGGCACTGGTAAGTGAGGTTCCTACTGCCTTTCTGACTGAATGCAGGCATTTCTCACAAAAAGACCAAAATCCACAAGGTGCTGATCACTCTCAGCCTTCACAGCAGTTTCTCCTGAAGAGAGTGTCTGTCTGGTTGTGAGATCTGGTCTCTCAGTGGGGACTGAACAAGCTATTTCCATCTGTTGCTGCAGGCTGCGTTTCGGAGTACAGGTTCATTTGTAACTCACGTTTCTTTTCTCTTCTTCTTTCCCTACCCTATTTCTCTCTGTTATCTTCTTCTCTCTGCAGAGGGGGTAAGAATGAGCCAGAACCAGAGCAACCAATCCCTCGAAAGGTGCAGATTCGTTCTCTCCCTTCATTGGAGGATATTGATCCAGACGTGTTAGATAGCATGCACTCGTTAGGCTGCTTCCGTGACCGAAATAAACTCTTACAGGACTTGTTGTCAGAAGAGTAAGCACTTGCTCAGACTTAATATCAGTTGGGTCTCCATGTGTTGGGATGCTTGCTGTCCTGGGGAAAGGTGGAGATGGCTTTGATATGTCTGTGGGTACGAGGGACCTGTATCAATGCCTCGCCCTCTGACTGCCCGGTGGCCAGTGAAGTGGGAGAAAGCAAGAAGTCGCTGGGCCTTTCTTAGCACTGTGTGTCAGTGGAGATGTGTTGCTGTCTCTTCTTGTGCTGCCAGATGTGGTCATTTCATGAAAAGGTGGGCCATGCAGTCTGAATGGAGAGGTATCGGTGCTGTTATTTGTGTTGGATATGTCTTTGTTGGCAAATTGTTACTTATTTCAAGCTATGCCTGAGTGTTGGTGTGTTTCCTGGTGTGCTATGAGGGGTATATAGTGGAAAGAGCTCTTAAGGGCTCAGGAGATCTGTCTTCTTATTGCTCTTGGTGTGGACTTTCTGTGGATACATTACCTCATGTGTCCTGTGCCTCTACTCCAGATGTGTAATGGGAGAATTGTATTTCCTTCTCTCTGTTGGAGACAGCAAGGCTCTCAAAAGCTTTGTGAATTGCACATCTAGCTAGCTGATACATGGCTATTTCCAGCTTATTTAGAATAACTGTAACTGCTTGAAAGAAGGGTTTTTTTACATACTTGTTTTTTCTGCTTCAAATGTAAAGATTTTTTCCTTTTTGTTTTTTTCAGAGAAAACCAAGAGAAAATGATTTATTTTCTTCTGCTTGACCGGAAGGAGAGATATCCTAGTCATGAAGATGAGGATCTTCCCCCTAGAAATGAAATAGGTACCAAAGAAATGATCTCTGTCACTATGAACCCATCTCAACTAGTACTTCTTTGCCCTTTTTCTTCTCATATCCTCAAACCTGAAACGGTTTACACCATTGGTGAGAATATGTGGCCAAAGGGGGGGCAGATGCATTTTGTGATTAAACTCAAAGGCTTTGTTTTTCATGACATATCCATCTCAGCACAGAAACATCCGTGTTGGTCTTGAGCCAGAAGTCTTAAAAAATTTAATGCAGACCCACAAGCTGCCTTTATACAACCTTTATGAAATTAGAGGAGGTTTAGGAGCAATGTAGTCTAGTGGTAGAATTTTCTAATTACTGATCTATGTGCAGTGTTGCAGAGATGCTTCTGGACTTCTATTAGTAAGACTATACCATTCATTACATTTCTACAAAGTTTTATGTGTACACATCCTCCGTTGGAAGAATGAATAATATCACTTACCTGTTTATAGTACATACATTATAATGCCATGTTTTTAGATTATCTTAAAAGGATTTTAGAAGTTTAACACGCAGTAAGATTATATATATCTTATAAAGCTCCTGTGGTACCATTTTATTCCTGAATTGTTCTTTGTTAGTATTTTAAAATACTGCTGATCACCAAGGACTACATTAATATAGATAGACAACTGGAAAAATGCTCCCCTAAGGAGCTAACAGTGTAAGTGACTCGTGCTGTGCATACTGACAGAAGTTTAACTAATAAAGCATTAGTCACGTCTATCAGTGGCCCGAAATAGCATTTTTATACAGTGGAGTTGTGATTTGTAGGTCTTGTATTTCACTCATTTGAAGGCTAGTGCCAAAATGCTCTTTAACTGGAAAGCCTGTTATCTCCCAAGCCTACAGGACAGTGATATATTAAAGTGTAAGTTTGTTAATACTCAACTGAATTATTACATTATCAAAGTTTCAGGCTACTGGACCTGTAATTTTACAGAGAGATCTCATCTGAGGGGGATAAAATGGAAATTCTGAGTCAGCCTGGTAGTTTTTTAAACTCTTACCTGGATGGAGCTGCAGAGAGCATGTCAGCAAGCATCTTGGCAAAGGAATAGATGTGCTTGCCACAGGTGATCTAGTCAAAAGTCCTTGCTCAGTGCGATTTGGCATCTTGCACTTCACTCATCAGCTTTTGACTCACACAGATTGTCCTGCAATGTAATGACACCCTCTTATCTTAGATGTGCTTCACAGAATCACATAATGGCCAGGGTTGGAAAGCACATCAAGATCATGAATCTCCAACTCAAATATGTATATGCTTCTGTCGTAAGAAAAGCAGGGCGACTAGTCTTCATATCCAGCACGTAACTGAATACACAGCTGTGCCTTTAAATGCATCACATACATCTTTCCTCCACACGCCAAAGTATGTGATGAACAGAAGTGCTATTACCCACTCCTGGATTATTTTTTTTTGTACAAGGGATGACGATGTTCTCCATCAGGGAAACATCATCTGAATATATCAGTGTGCTGCATTGGCACATTTTAGACTCTGCACATTATTCTTTGAGTGTTTTTCAGTTGTCTTCCGTGTTCCACAGGAGCTTTCTACCTCCTCTGTTCACAGCAGTATCTCTGAGAACATGGGGCAAGTTTTAATTAAGAGCAGTCATGCTTCTGATGAGTATCTCATCCATAGCCATTAGCAATAGCTTTGCACAAGCAGAGAAGAGCAGGGAAAAGGTAATGGATATAATATTAGCAGCTTGAAGAAACCACATTCATGAGAACTGTGCATTGCCTGAGTTCATGCCAAAAAAAAAAAAAAAAATCTAATTTTATTTTGCCTTTTCCTCCTTCTTTGCACATTAGACCATGGAATGGATGGATGTGGGTAGAAATAAAGATTTGGCTGCATTAGACTAGCACTTTCTCTTCTGATATCTCTTTTGTATGCGTCAGCTATGTAAAGCTTTCTCGAAGGGTCAGAAGAGGGCCACCCTAACTGTCTTGTGAGTCCAGTTCTATTTTCTTTAACTGAAAACAAGGAAATAAGAAATCTCTCAGTAAAATACATACGCATCAACTGATGTCTCCTTGAGCAAAAGGCTTACGTGGAGATTCTTAATAGAGCAGAGTAAAGGAGATTCAGCCAGAATAGCCATGTTAGGATGACATGCATAATCCAAACTCACAAACTGAACCTTTATTTTATGCCTTTCAAATGAATGGCTTTATGATTGGATTTTTACGTAGGCTCTTTCCCTGTAAAAATCCTTGAGAATGCCTTCACTTTTGTGATAAGAAGTAAGAGGAAAATACATCTCCAGAACTACCATGTATCTAAACTGGGACTTGAATGGGTTTTTTTTTGTTTCTCTGTGAAGCATTTCCAGAGACTCAAGAACAGAAGTGTGTGCACTGAAGATTTTCCTATTTTTAATTCCTGTACTGCTGCTAAATCTCCAACTGTTCTTACATGCCACCACTTCAGTCCTTATGAGAGGATGACTGTGTGCTTTAGTATCCTTAGATTTGACAGTGATGACAGACTTGGTACCCTGTGGTTTCTTACTTAAAGCCTTTGAAAAATATGTACAATACTTGCTGCCTTCAGTCATGTATAGTATAGGTTTGTAGCCAGTTTTAAAGAGGAATCAAGTACCACTATTAGAAGCTCTACCAAATTCGTACAAACTTTTGGATGTATTTTCCATCAAACCCATCAAACCCTGAATTGCTGTTGTTGAATTTATTGATGTACTTCACCACCTTCTCCTTTTGCTTATTTCCTCTCTTTCTTAGCTTAAAATACAGATTGGAAATCAGTATCTTGAGCAGCAGAGATTGATACAAAAGTATCATTTAGCTTGTTAGCAATATCCTTATCCTTCCTAATTGTCCTGCTGATTCCCATATAATCTTTCTGGCTGCTATCCTTCTCTCAAGCTTTCTGTCAACAAAATACTGTTGTTCAGATCTTTGGCTCATTCCTCTTCAATTCCTTTTTATCTTGTTTCTATTGTCCACTTTGTATTTAGCCTAATCATCACTTTTGCATCACTTGGCTAAATTTCCATTTGGTAAAGTGTTTTGTTTTGAGCATGCATGGATGAAGTTGCCTTAAAAATTTTCTTTTCATATGCTGTTTCTCTTGCCATTTTCCTTCTTATTATTTATACTCTGTTATTAACTAACCTTGATACAGTCAGAGCTTACTCATCTTTTTTTTCTTTTTAATTTCTTCATCTTGCTCTTCTTTGGTCTGTGTCATCTTCATCCTACTTCTTTCTTTTTAAGCTGCACTCTTCCCCTTTCCTTTATAGTCTCTGGTGGTATCCTTCTGTAAATCTTGTGTCAACTCTGTATAGGTAACAAACATTTTAATAGTTGTTCTGTAGGATAGATCATCCTTTGTTCTTTGTACGTGTTTGGAGAGCAGGAGTTTGAAATGTCTGAACTTGTCCCAGGTCACTTTTGACTGGTTATGTGTGCAGCTGAAGTTTCCCAGTACGACTGTGTTGTTAGGTTTATCTCTCTGTGTTTTTCCTGTAACTTTATGCACTGTATGTTTTTCTTGCTAGTGTTTTCTACCACTTTTCTATTATTGAACACAGCTTGAAACAGAGTGAGATACAGTTATTCTTCTCTAACTCATTTTTAACACAATTATTACTATTAATACAAATAATACTTACATTATATGGTAATAGGTTCATTTGCTATCACTGTATCATTTGCACTTGGGCTGTACTTGCTCGTGCTCATTGTTTCAAGAATAAACCCTGCCTTGAAGGAATCAAATTCTGAAAAACATGATGTGAGAGAGAGAATAAACAAGCAAATAGGCCAAGACTGAGGAGGGCAGAGTCATAAAAATAATATAATCTGGCTATGCAGTAATGATAGAGTTTTAGAAAGGAATCCTGGCAGATAAAAAAGCCCTAGGGGGGCTGGATGCTGTGAGCTTCTTTGTAACTGCAGAGATGAAGGATGCTTTTTCTTAAGGGTAGTCACTCTCTGATAAAATTAAAAAGATGTCTATAAATACAAGCAGGCAATTCAAATAGTCCAACCAAAGCAAGGAAAATCTTTCCTTATTTATTTTTCTCCTTTACTCCTTTTTACTGTTCAGATGCCATTAGATATATCAGTATTAAAAGAACTCAACAAGTCTGTTTGGTTCCCTTTATCACCACAGAGGTGTGTATGGTTTGGCAAGTCACCTTGGACCAGTCGCTGTCATGCAGTTTGGTATCTAAAGACTATTTTCAGAGCAATTTAGGTGCTTCTCAGAGCTGCAGTAATTGTTTGTCTGCGCCTTTAGGAATGAAATGCCTTTAAGTATCTCATTCTTATAACTCGGTTTTCACTCAGCAAAGTGAAAGTAGCACTTGGATGCCTCATAGAAATGTTATACAATAAAGCACTTCAGTTACTACAGCAGTAAAAGCGATATGATGACCTCTGAGATAGATTTCAGTAGCTTTCATCGGAGGTTTATCTCAGGTAGTCCAGAATGTTTAATTTGTAATGCTGAAGGAAGAAATATGTAACACAGCAGGGAAAACCTGAAATCTAATACTGAAGATGCAAAAATAAGAGTATGTTTTCAGAGACTAATACAAGTCTGAATTTAGAGTGTATTTTTGTCCCTGCATTACATTTAATCTAGCTAGCATGGGCATGGAAAGCAAGCTAAAGAAACCTGAGTACATATCCAGGATCCCTGGATGGCATACCCTTTGGCTAATAGCTTCTGCTGTAGCCCGTGCTATTATCTTGTTATTACTGTTATCAGCTTTGTAAGGTAATTTGTGCAGTCTGTGCTTTGGTCATACCTTTATTTTACAGTGCTCATACATTCAGTAGTAATACTCTTCCTCTCTGCAGATGGATTACAACTTACGTCTTAATGCTTGTAGTTTTGGAAGAGAGTGCAAATGTTCATCTCCAGGATAACTGTCTGTAGGGGAAGTGTGAGAGTGAGATCTTTGAGAGAGGATTTAGCCAACCTGTGTGAGGTAAGTCACAGCCAAATTCAGCTGACAGTGTTTTCTTTTCATAAAGATCCCCCCAGGAAGCGTGTGGACTCCCCAATGCTCAACAGGCATGGGAAGCGACGACCAGAAAGGAAGTCGATGGAGGTTCTCAGTGTGACAGATGGCGGCTCCCCCGTCCCTGCTCGCAGAGCTATTGAAATGGCACAACATGGACAGAGGTGGGTCCCTCCTTTACTTGGGAGCTGAGAGTCCCTCCTGTCTGGGTTTGTTGCCCTCTTACATGTCGTACATACAGAGGAGCTGTGGAGCCCTTCTATTCACAGCAGCACTCATAACAACTTCCAAGCGCACTTACAATGTGATCTGGCAGCCAGCAGTGCTTATTCACACAGGAACAGAAGTCCTGCCATCAATTTAAGATTTCTGTCCACTTGCAGCTATTGTTCAGGAAACTGCTGTGTCCTCTGGGCAAAATTCATCTCACCTCATTTTAATTGTTCAGAATGTAGGGATTCAGTCTAAGCTAGGTATACAGGCTGTCACTGTAGGCACTGGGGACAGATGAAGTCTTTGGAAGATCTCAGATATGTATGTGCTGTTCCAGCAATCTTAGATGGGATAAATTAAGCTCTGGTTGTTCTTCTCTGTCTCCATAGCCTATGGCAGGAATCTAAATGATGCTGCTTTTGGATTAGGTGCTAAGTTCTTAGGCACTTGAAGTTAAATGGGATGAACTTCATCCTCTACACTGTTAGAATAGGTGAAGTTTGGAAAGCCCTGTGCAGGCATCTGTGGGTACCTTTTAAATGTACTGTCAGGGCTGATATGCATCTGACCCACATAAATTACCATGTCTGTAAATTGTTAAAATTCATGTAATTTTACCTCTTTTCTCTGAAAGTATTATCGTTGTGGAGAGACAGCAGAAGAAAATGATGTTTCCTCAAGGCAGGTTGTGATAAAATAAGTGGACTGTGGAAGTTCACTTATGTGAACCATGGGAGTTGCTTCCTCAGTCACTATATCTATCCTAAAGGAAGCACATGCATTTGGATTTACGCTTGTATAAATCAGTCAGTCTTAAAGAACACTTAACACTTCACGCATATATATGCTGATGATGCTATAACTTCTGTTTCAGCCTTATGACATGATTATTTTTGTCTAGCTATTAAGATCTGCTCAAAATGAGCCTGTTGTGCCTGCTCAGAAACTCCCTGTGCTGACTGAAAACTGGATAAAGCGAAACTGGATGAAATGGAATAATTTCCAGTCCAGAGACCCCTAGAATCGCTAGAAAGTTTTGCTGGCAACTGTTAACATTCTGCCTACAGTGAGGAGAAAGTGATTTTCAGGATCTTTCCAGGACTTATTTCAGCCTGGATGTATGGTCTTGAGGTAGACTGCCAGAAAGATTTTTCGCTGTAGTGGAGGTTGGAAACCTGACTTTGAGTGTGTGGTTTGTTTTGATATTTAATGTTTGGGTTAAGGAAATGTTCAGGTCAGCGTGTACTCTTAAATGTTCCTGGTAGGCCTCAAAGTGATAAGGATGAAGATGACACTGACAAACAGTTGCTTACTCCTTATTCAACTTTCTGTATTTAATCTAGTACCTGGTAGATGTACGAGCCATAAATTGCCCAGAGAGGAGCCAGACAGAGGTGAATCACTTTCCCCCACCCCAAAGCTGCCTGTGAGTTGTACTCTGCAGCTGTTTGCAGTAACTGTCCAACTGGGCAAGAGAAATAGGAAGCAGTGAGATGAACAATTGAAGATAATAATCCAGTCTTGTTCCACCAGCCTAGAATGTATTTGATTGATTCTGAGATTTTCTGAGGACTGAAACCTTCCATCTCTCAGCTTTGCCTTTGAATTTGGAAATGCTGAAGAAGCAAAACTGTGTCTCATTATACTTTTGCTTTTAAATATCTCACTTAATTCTGGATGAGAAATCATTGGAAGTGAAAGGTCTGAGATGAGTGCACAGCACTGGAGGTACATATCCAGGTGACAGGAGTAAGAAGAGTTTTGGCTTTAAGGAGGAAGTAAAACCTTCCAGCCACAAAAGAGATATAGGGAAATGCATACCACACAAAACATGGTTGGACACAGGGTGTGATTGAGGGTGGAGGAAGGGATGTAATAACACCATGATTGATGATGATGAGCTTGGCAGTGCTTGTTTTGGAAGGGGTTGATGGGAAGATAGTATTTTACTCCATGTCTGAGCTTCCATAACTCATACCATTCCACTTCCACAGATGACAATGGCACATATTGTGTTGCTGGCAGCACAGTCTTTTATAACATGAACTGGCTTCATTAACAAACACCACTGCATAGGGATTGTCTGGGGACGATGCATTGCTGATGGGGCACCATCTGTCAGAGCAGTCAGTAACAAAAAGACAAGTGCCTTCCTCCAGGACTGAAAGATTTTTAGTGGCCAGCAGCATATTATTTTCCATGAAATGACCCACTGAGAGTGGATTTTACAGTGCTAGATATTAGATCCCAGGATTGGATGCTTTTTTTAAGAATGACATTCTTTGGTCTGGATAGAAGACTGCTTAGTGCTTTTATCCTATAATACTAGGAAGACAGGGAGGTGGACTGTGGAAACAGGCCTCCCGTTTAGACACAAATGGCCAGTACAAACATCTGGAGACACAGAGCTATTGCTTCTTTCTTCAGATAACCAGTGGGCAGACTCTTCTGACCATGAGCAGAACACACCCATGTGTCATGATTTAGTCCCATGTCCTTTTTCCCAGTAATAAGCAGATGTTTTGTTGCAAAAAGGGGATTCATGTTATAGCTTCTGATTTTATGTGTCTGTGTGATGAGCTTGCTTTTGGTAACCAAGTGGGGACTCTACAAGCATTTGGTCTGGGCTTGTTTAAGGGCACATCTTTCTACTGATATTTGAAACTCGGCAGCTTTGAGCCAAGCAGTCTGAGAAAGTGTTAGGTGAAAAACATAGACAGTTAGTGGCTTAGTTCTGAATAATGTATAGGAAGAATTCAATGCAAACACTGCTTTTTGAGCTTGCTGACAACCTGAAATATTTTTGCTGACCTCTGCAAGTGGTCTCCAGTGGATCTTTGACTGTGAATGACAAAATTAGTGTGCACAGACACCTGATACTTGGTTTTCCCTGCTGGTTGTCTACCTAGCAGGTTCATAGTGGCATCTTACTTGATTCTGCTTTTATGCTATTTCATTGTATTGTCAAAAGAAAAGAGGTAGATTCTGAGCTTACTTTAATACCAGCTAATTCGTCCCTTGGGCCAAAATCATACAGATAAAGGAGAATTCTGTGGGAACAAGAATCCTGTGGGGATATACCAGAAATTTTCAGCAGCTCTACTGGAAAAGTCCAAAACCTGTTCTAAAATGGGCTTTATTCATTTTTTTTGTGGTTATTGAAGTTGATGGTTTGTGTGAAAAATCAGCTAACATTAGGAAGCTGTGTTCTGTGAAACAGTGAAGCATATCATGGAGAACTTCCCTTTTAGCAAAGCATAAGGAATTTTGCTTTTAAGCTTCAGGAATTCAGACCTAAGATATGGGAAAGAGAGTTGGGAGTAAGTGGTACAGGGGCCTAATGGCCTAATTCAAACCCTTTCCCAGGTTGTGCTTACTGTTGAGATCTTCTAGAGAAATCTGAGTAATGTGTGCTTTTGCTATTTGTGCCTTCAGGCATGTTCTGTATGCCCTGGACAGTGTGATAAAAGTAGATTGTATCTGGGTTTTCAACTAGATAAAGAAGAGCAGGGTTTACAAGTATGTTTGGGGAAAGTCATCTTAGACCTCAGAAGTCAAGGGGAGATAATGAACTTCAGCTCTCTGTAGGCCTAGCCCATAGCTGTAAAGTAAAAGAAACTTTTCAGAACATTGCTTAAAAAGGGGAGGATGGGTTGGGGGGCTGGGTGTCCAGCATTGCTTCAGGTGACTCTCTTTTATAAATGTCCACACTAGTAACTCTGTTTTCTCGCTTTGTTCCTGCCATAGTAAAACAATGTTCAGTAAAAGCCTGGATATCTCTGAAGCCAATCCCAAATTCAACAAAGAAGAAAGGTATATAAACACTGACAATATGTTCCTCTCCTCTACCTCACTGCTTAGACCTTAAAGATGCAGTACTTACCTTCTCTGTATGGGGACATAGCTGTTCCTTCTTAGAAAGAAACAAAGAGAGTGGGATATTTACTGGCCCCACTACATACAGTTTTGTACAATGCCTTACATTTGAGGCTATCCCCAATGCAGCCTGTGACTATACTATTTTCCCCACTACAATGTTATCATGTTGCTACTAGTTCAGTTCTGCCATGAGTTAGGATGCCTAAGCTAGAATATGTATTTGCTAGAACTGCTCTGGGAAAGGCTGGAGCTAGGAGAGCCAGGAGTGCTCCATTCTCAGCACTAGAAACAGCAGTACAACCAAGTCAGCAAGAGCAATAGTAGGAAATGTTGAGAATCCTGTCTGATTTGAGCAAAAAATTAAGTACCTCTAGGTAAGGGACAAACTCTTTAAGACTGTCCTGGCTGCATCAGAGAACACGAGGAAAAGGTGATTGAAAGAGGGGGCTTTTGGAGGATGATTCCAGTCTGATAGAATAACAGATGCTGAAGAGTAAGAAAAAGAGTAACTCCCAACTATGAATAGAGGCACAGTGGAAGACATACAGTTCATTAGATTTAAGGTCTCATGTGGCACCCCAGACTTATGATGAGGTTGTTGGTGGATGTAGAATTCCTAAAATTCTTGTCTTAGAGTAAGAGAATTCTTCTCTGATGTCAAAAGCTGTCATCCCAGTGGATAATTCTTCATCATAATGTAATGTTCATACGTTTTGGACAAACAGCCTATCCAAAATCGGCAGCTAAATACTTAGTTCCATATGATTCAAAAGAAGTGGTGAATTCCTTAAAGGAACCAGCCTGAGGACTCAGCTAGCCATTTTTCTTTCCATTTTTCCTTTTATAGCCTTTCTACTTAAAGATAAAAGCGGTGTTTAAGCTAAGGAAGACTTACAGGATGTAAAGACAGTCTCTGTTTTGGCCTTTTGCAGACTGAGTCCTTTGTGAGCAGTGTTTCAAACCTTGAACATGCCACAGTGAAGTTCGAATACCTTGCACTCACATGATTGTCCATCAAGTATGTAAGGCACCTTTAAGATGGCAACCTAAGTACAAGAATTGTACCCAAACCATTAGAAAACTCATAGTTTCATAGCCATAAAAGAATAGTGGTTACGTAGGCTTTAGTGGATGAGTTTTCCTCAGACTGATACATGTTCCTCTCTCCGATTCCCCCTGTATGTAGATTGTATTCTTGAATGTGTCACTTCTTGTATTAGCATTTAGTGTGAAACTACTCCAAAGACTAGCTCTTTCACAGTAATTAAAAATCAGGTTCAGTAAGAGAGGTGCCTTTACATCTATGGTTTGAGAAGGGTCCTTCAGATGTCATCATCCCTCTGTACTTCTCTAGCAGCTGTTAGGCTGTGTTAGGAGCAGAGGAGGTGACTCTTCAGTAGCCACTGGGGGAACTCCTTACGTACATGCAGGTGCTTTGTGTTCCCTCTCAAAGGTATTTTTTTTCAGAGTACAGGAGAAGGGTAGGGCAGTCACAAGGATCACTTGTGGCCCCTCCTCACTAAAAGGCCAGGCTGATTTTTGAAAGATCACATTCACTGTTCTCTCACCTCCCTCTCCCTCTTAGCAATTAGGATGAGGGACCTCAGTGGCATGAAAATTAGAGGAACTGAATTCTACATCTGTGTACAGCTACGAGAAGGGAAGGGATAGGCAGTGAAGAGATCCCCAGCCAAATGAGGACAACTAATCCTGATGGCCATTAAATTTTTGTTCAGCATTTAATTATCCAACTTTATGACGTCTTTTTTAAAGGAATACTGCATCTTTAAGGGTCCCTTCCCTCTAGATGCACATGGTTGTCTTAGTAGCTGAGGCCACTGTCCCTTTCTCTTTCTTTCTTTCTGACTTTCACCCCCTCTTTCAGCGCTTCTCTTCTTCTGTATCTGGGTTGCTGCAGCTCCGTAGTTCACTTGCTTCAGTATTGTAGGGAATGCACATGTCTGCGCTTCTGGGTCTATTGTGTCCTGGGATTGTCAATTTTTTTTGAACCTCATTTGCCTCTTCCTTTTCCCTATTGTCAACTTGCTTTCCATTCTCTTTGTTAACCTCCTAAGTGCCTTCCCCGTTGGGAAAATGACTTGAAAGAAAAATGAATCAACTTTATTGCACCCATTCTATTTACATTTTAATATTCTGCATGTTTGGGTATGGGTGTATTTGCTGTATAAATATACACACACGTTCCATTATACAATGGGTGTCAATTTGTTCTTCTCAGTTCATCACTGCAGGTAGATTTGTACTGGTCCAACTGAGGACAGCATTCATCCCTAAATATATACAATGTATATGTATTTGTATATATATGAATTAGATCTTAACCAAATTTGCACCCCACGCCAAAATACAAATGGAGTATCACTCAAGCACATGAAAAAGAACTTACTATAATGCTTCTTTCCACTTCTCTATTGATGCATAGCACAACTTTTTCTTTCTGTTCTGTGTTTTAATTTTAACTTTCCTCAAAAGTACCTTGTGTTGCCTAGCCCAGCATTTGCAGTGTTCTTGTATTCGGAAGCATGGCTAGTTGCACTGAGCAGGAAACTGTGAAATCTACTGGGCATATATTAAATTTGGCATTTCTGTTGGTGACCGTCTTGTGGAAAATGGATTTTCCTCACCCAGCCAGAGGTAACTCTGGCAGCTTGGGAGCCTGTTACTGAAAATGGAGAGAGAGAAAAAAAAAAAAAAAGAGACAGAGAGGAAAAAATCACAGCATCTGCCTTGAAAATTATTTGGTTTAATAACACACCGGGTGTTCTTTATTCCTAATTAATCTTTGTTAATCTGAAAAAGTGGTGATGCTTTCTTGAGTTTCCGTACCCTCACCCCTAAAAACTTGATAACCTGACTATTCTTTCCTATTTTGAGTGCTTTGGTTACTGGTGAAAAAAAGAATCTTGAAGTTTTTGATTGTCCCTTGGCATCAAAGTCAATGTGTCAGATATTCATTCTGCCTTTAAAGCTGCTGTTTCGGACTCTTTTCAGCACAGCATTGATTTATTCTCTGTTCACATTTGAAAGATTTCCCTTGCAACCTTTAAGAGCCAGAGTCTGAATTTATTTTAAATGAAAAATGAGATCCTGGAGCACAAGATAGCATCCACAGAGATAAGTGCTGGGTTGCTGAGCTGGTATGCTCTAGGTGATCTGAATTCCTGACTCTAAGACCATCACGACTAATAAGCCAGTAACAAAGCAGATTCACAGCTTGAGCTACAGTCTTGTACCCTGGGCTCCCAAGCTGGCTCAGAAATGCATGCTTTAATAACCAATAAGTTTCACAGTTCATTCATGGCAAAAAAAAGTACTTCTTACCAGGCCAGCTTGGGGGACAGAGGGACACTACATTGAGCAAAAAGGAGACAAAAAGGAGACAATTTCCTTCATAACAGTTTGTTGTAACTGTGACTTATGTCAGAGTCAGAAAAGAAATTCAGCATAACATCTGATCCCCGTTGCTCTGCTGACTGCTCTCATTGGGATTTGGCTGGAAAGGTTTTTTTACAGCCTTAGAATGTCCCTCTCCATATTCCCCAGTGCCAAAGTTGGGTGTGTCTGCATTATTGTGAGCAGGACAGAAGTTATTTTCTAGTGAATCAAACTGTCCCCCTCGTGTTCCTGGTTTCTGAAGATGTAGGCACCTGTGGCAATAATTATGACCATGCAGTTCTCCGAACAGTATTTCACTCTGCTTTTCCTACTCTTCTCTCCACCTGCTTCCACATCCCCCTCTTTCTCTTTCTCTCTTTGCCTTCTCTCTTCATTTTCTCTTTCCAAGGATGGCGAGTGCTGATCCATTGGGGTAAGCTCTAGTTTTGGATTATTCCTGTTGTGGGACCTGTTATGACTCGTAGAGAAATTTCTCATTTGCACTTTACAAATACAATACAAGTGGATACAGTTCAGAGAATGAGAATTCTCAGCAGGGAGATAGAGAGAGATGTGGGAAGAAGCATTTTTGGTGCTTTTGTGTGTGTTTGTGTGCTTTTAAGTTGGAGTTACACTCCATATAGCTTAGTTTGGGGTTCTTTTTTGTTCTCTTGTCTGTATGTTTCAATGTCTGTGAGCACACAGAACTAATCTCAGACACTGTGTAGGTACCAAAATACCTGAGAATATCTCCCCCTTCTCTTTTTGTATCTTCTTGATACCTTCCAGTTAACTTTGATCCTAATTTATCCTTTTCTCTTTCTTTTTTTTTTTCCTTTTTTTTTTTCTAAAATAAAAATAAAGCTCAGTCCCATCTGTGTTATTAAAAGAAGTACTGGGTATTTTCTCTCTTTTGAGTATAGATTTTCTTAGGAGGTGAGCAGATGGTCCTAAACAAGATATATGTTCAAAGCTCTTTATTTTCAATTTTCAATAAAGAGAATAGAGGTACAATTAGAAATGCAGTCCCACTTTGAATTAGATTTCCATTTATAAATTCTTAACATAAGGGGAACATTTATTAATAAATGATTTAATTAAAATGTTGTAATAGATCACTACAAACTACAGTAAAAGCTTATGAGAAGGTACAAACTGAGAGGGCTAATTAGCACCAGTAATATTTATATTAATACAGCATGTTTATAACATGCTTTACAATATATTAATTCTTTCTAAACCATTTATAAATGATTATCATGCAGTATGATTGGCCGGTTAAGGCTGTTTAACATCACCTTCTTTGTGTGCTGGAAGGAAGAAGAAGAGGTGTGTTATCAACACCTGCAGTCAAAAATCACTGCGTGCTTTTTGTAAGGGCTTCATCTTCCCAAAGGGAATTACTATGAGTAGAACTTCTGACATAAGCAGAAGTATGTTAAGACGTTAAGGTTGGTATTGTTTGGACAGTTGGGACTGTAAGACAGAATAGCATTAGAAGTAGTCTATTCTTACTCAGCACCAGGAAGCAAGGAACTACAGTTTGCATTTTTTGGACACCCAAGAACAGAAGTGATGAAATGTAATACACAGTGCCTGAATGTTCACTACTGCTTATTAATTTGGGTAGTTTTCAGGGGTTTCATACCCCAAACTGCACTTTACAATTTTTTGTTTTTACTTGAGTGATCAAGCAAAGAGGAGTATCAAATGCCACCCAATTTATGCTTTAAACAAACAAAAATTGGCTGGATATTTTGGCTATACCTTACAAAACTATGCACAGAATCAAACCAACTCAAAATTTTGAAGGCATTTCACCCAGGGGCACAAGTCAGATGCATTACTGCACGCTGCATGCATGCTGCAGGCTCTCCCTCTTGGAAGCATGGCTCCAGCTTGACCAGCTAAAAGACTGTATTCAGCATCCTAGTAAAACTGTGCTATGAAAGCAAGTTCTGCTGGGACTGCAACAAGGTACCAAACTCACTTTTTATTGTAGGAAAAGTTTCTGTGAGGTGGTTATTCAAAGATGAAACAAATGCCAAATCTGACCCAAATGTTTAATGCTGGCTGCAAAGCCTATGCACTTTATTGGTGTATGCTAGGTGATGCACTGTTCAAAGCACTTGAAAATTAATCTGAGTGAAGGGCTATGGAGAGGTGCTCTGCACTGTGCTATATGTGTACTGTGGTTAGCAGATCAGCTGCTTTTTCTTCCTTCTTGTGCTTACACCTCAACAGTGTCAGGCTTCAGCCCTGGGTTCTTAGAGCTCACAAGAAACGGCAGTTCTCTTAAACCAGCTGGAAACTGGATTCCAGCTCCTTGGATTTACCAGTAAGAGACCAACTGATCCAACACAAATTGGGCCTTATGTTGTAGCAGCTGACTAAAATGAGTAAAAACATGCTTTAAAACAAAGGTCCTTGTAATTGAAGTATCAAATAGATTGAATAAGGTATAAAGGCATCGCATATATGAGCTGCAGCCCGCACATGCTCATTTCTTTTCAGTGCTTGGCCTCTTTCTTTCATAGCTCAGATGTCTCCTGCTTATTGTCTGTCTTTGAGATGGGAGGAATAGCCCACGATGATTTCAGTACCCACCATATGTTTAGAGTGCTCTCTGTGGCTGCCACTACCTAGAACTTGCGTCTAGATCCCTAAAGATGGATTTATTTATTTTCATTTCCTCCCTCCATGTTTGACAAACCAATTATGTCACTATTGATGGGACTCGAGTCTCCTCTTGGGTCCTTAATGTGGCAGTTGTGTTTGAGGGAATGCTCTTTTTCAACAACTTTTTGATGGCTTCCATTGAGTTAATGCCCCAATGCAAAACACAGAGCAAAACGAGTCACACACGATGTTCATAGATTCCTAGATTGTTGCGTGCAGTAGTAAGCTATTGGAATAACTACAGATTTCATACTTCCAATGACATTTAATGCCTGCAGAGTAACCTCTGAGGAGTTCACTCACTAATAGATATCTCCTGTTAAATACGCTTAGTGTGTAGCCATAAGAATGTAAGATGATTTCATATTTTTCTCCTTTTTCCACATGTAACATCATCCAGGGTCTGCCATACTAATGTGCTGCCTGTACAGCTTCATACCTTTATTTTCTGGTGAGGGGGATACAGATGTAAATTCTCTCTGTTCTCATTGCAGCATTTCAGCATAATGCACCTTTTTCATTACTTTCTTTTGGCCCTGTCCCAGTTCTGTCCACCTGACTCTGAGATACAGGAGCAGTGCGTTTGTTTGTTTGTTTGTTTGTTTTAAAATGAATTCCAGCATTTCCTAGCTAGGGTGATCTCGATGGGAGGAAAAATCTCTCATTTTTGCTTGTTGGCATTTTTGTACTGGAGTATAGAAACTGCTGCTGTTCTGAGTTCTTATAGCCAGCTTGGAAACTGTGTCACATTTGTAAAGGTAAATTCTGCAGGATTTATTAAATTGCAGAAGATGCAAGGAAGAAATTCTCAGTTTGGCTGTTATATTCCATATCAACATGTTCTTGTAAAAGGGAAAAGTTTTGATAATGTACAACTCTTTTCACCCCAGCACTTAAAATTAACCCAGGGTTCTTTAAGCTCTTCCTACTGCTCCTCTATACAATTTCCAGTGTGGACAAACTAAGATTTGCTATAAGACCTAAGACCTACGTCTTATATATTTTTGCATGTAAATCAGCAACAGAAATAAAGTTTGTTTGATAGCAATCATGTGGATAGTAAATGCATTTCTAGGAGGATATCACACTAACTCTCTCTTCTGTCCCCTACCTCAGGCTCCTAGGCTGGATGAAAACACAGTACACAACAACTCTTTTTTCAAATATTGCTTCCAATAAGGAACTGGGAGTTGGGAGGGCGGGACTGCCGTGTTTTGTCCTCCATGTGTGTGATCATTTTTGTAAAAAAAATAGAAGGCAGTGGGGTTGGGAGGGGAGAATTCAGGACTTGGAAACATCTGATTGCAAAGAGGAAATAGCAGATTGGAACTTTTAATCAAGTATCCTGGAATTCAGGTGAGTGTCAGAGAGGACTTTCCCACCATAATTAAATATTGGTGGGAACATCTCCTAGTGGTGGTTAAACTCCTAAACAGGTGTTTAACTGCATCTTTGGGCACCTAAATGCCTCACAAGTCTTGTGCAAGGTAATTTATAGGCTTGTCTTGTAATTTATGGTTTGGAATAAGGTTTTGCTGATGACTCATACAAGGAAGATTTTAACCAAACTTCCCATATGCACGACACATCTGCGTTGCACTCAGCTATTTCAGTTATAGAACAGGCACACAAAATGGCCTATTGAAAGCAGAGCAGACAGTTCTCCCTTTAAAGCTACTTTGCATAAACCTTTATGAGCACCTCATATTATGATGGTGCAAATTTATGTTCAATTAAGTGCCAAGACTGAGCTTCTAGATTTTGTCTGCCATACTGTCATGGGCAGACTGTGGCAGGGTACAAGGAGGGAGATTCTGCGTAAATGAGTGCCCCAGTTTTTCATGGTGCAAATTTAGATTTAATTTGGAAAAAAAAGAAGAAAAAAAAAAAAAGCATGCCAAGTCTGGGCTTCTGCATTTTACCTACCTGTGATGGACAAACTGGAAAGAGATAGAAGGAAAACCATGCAGAGGATAAAGAGAGAATAAGATCTACCACTGTGTTCAGTGTTAACTTACTCTTTCTCTGGAACAGCCTCCTGTTATGCAGTTTACATATTTTTTTTAGCAGTTTTAATACTCAAATTTATTTAGGAATGTATTTCTAGGAGTCCATTTCAGAAACAGATATTTTGATTCTTCTAAAACAGATTTAAAAGTTCGGTAATCAGAGACAATTAATGGCCTAAATTTCTTTTATATTCCCTTATATACAAGTTGATACTAACCGACCCATATCAATTCTAAGTATATGTATATACACATGCACACATGTAATCAGCTTTCCAAGCATCTACAAGATTTTACCTTTTCACATACATTACTTGAAGGCAAATAATTGCTTTCATTGCTCTTAGTATAGGTGAAACATTGGTAGACAGACTAAATTGGCATGTTGCTTGGCAGTTGTTGACCAGCTAGGTTCTTAGCCAGGTTCTCTGCTGTAAGATGTTTCAGTCTTCAAGTCAACTTTCTTTTGTTTAAAGCTATCTCTGGGGCTTACTCAGTTTGAGTCATATGGAAGTTTTTCTCATGATGGGCAGCTCTCCTTCTGGAAAGTTGTTCTGCCGAAATGTTTGTTTATTTGGCCTGTGCCTTTTCAGCATGTTTTAATATAGCACATTCATATGTTTTGTTGTCTACAGCACACAGTTTTATTAGATGGCCTTTGCTGGAGAGCATAAGAGCATTACAGCGCAGGTGGCCTTGTCAGCAAGTAAAGCAGTTGATTCTCTATTGATTGGCTTTTTTTTTGGAGGACACCTGGGCAGTTATCCTGCTATTGGTGAAGTTATCAATAACAGCAGAACTAGTTATTCATAAACAAAACCTGGCTTGTTTAATGCAACAGAAGTAAATCTTACTGGGGAACAGAGCTGTGAAATCCATCAGTGAGGAGTTGGGGAAGCTTGAGAGAGTGTGAACTTTGATTTCAATGGAGGAAAGTCACTGCATAGGGAACAATTATGTATCTTGGTCCCAAAGGCTTGCTTTTTTCCTTAATATGTGGAGGAACCCCCTTCCTTTTTGCCTTATGCACACAGTGGCTTCCTATGTTCCTTGTGACAGAGCATCTCATTATGTGACCACCAGCACTGTGTAGGAGAGAGTCCTCAGCACCAGCATGCATCTTGACGGTCCTTTTTGAAAAAAGAAGGTAGCAACTCCTGTAATGAGAAGGGATTATAGCTTCCTCCTTGAGCAAGCAGCATTTCTTAGAGTTTTGCTGTGAGAGTGGGACAGTAATGAGAGGAAAGAGTCATGCTTTTCCAGTGACAGTCTCCTTCCTTCTCCTCACATCATGCCTGTGCCTGCAGTGGCTGGTGTTCAGGGTTATTTCTTGTTTACATTTTCTGAGGGCCTTTTTCTTGTTGTGTCCATTCAGGTCTCGGTCAATCAGCGGCGCTTCATCTGGGCTCTCCACCAGTCCTCTCAGCAGTCCAAGGGTAAGTGGTTCTGCTTCAAGATCCGTTGGTCCAGTTCACTCACACATGCTTGATGCTTTTCAACATCTGTTGCTGCAGAGCCATGGCTCTTAGCTGGGATGTTTTGGTTTTCCTTCGCAGCTTGTAAATTTTCATGAGTGGTGAGGGAAATGATGTCTACAAATACAAGCTGAGAATTTTCCATACATTTTCCCTGCACTATTAGAGGTACCTCAGGGATCTCACTGTGCCCCTGTCCTTTTTCAATCTCAGAAGTGCATTGAATAACATTGTTATGACTAAACACTGCTATTTCCAGCTGAGGTCTGTATATGACATGATTTCAGACCATGTATCAGAGACTGTTTCACAGCTACTTTCAATCAAGCCACAGCAGAGCATCAAGCCATGCTGGCTACAATCAACTTAATTCAGTTTGCCACAGAGTAGCTTGGATTAGAAACTCAAACAAAATCAGTTTCAGAAATTTGAGGAACAGCAAATTTAAAGGGAGAGTAAAAAGTAAATTAATTGAGAGAATTGTAAATCCCCAGTAAGGTGTATACTATAAAGACAATCAGGTTTAAGTTTACAGGCTAGTAAAGCTTCCAACTCCTTGCTTGATTGAATTGTTTTCTGAAATATATTCTAGGTTCCCCTGTTTTGCAACTGACAGAAATATGTTTGCAGTCTCCTCTGTGTCTTTAGTGTACCAGGAACCAGTGAAGATCCATTTCCTTTCTTTCCTTGTTTCTGTACCTCATGAATGGCAGTGGGATGAAGCAGATATCTGAGAATTCTCATACCACTGCAGAATGTACTGAGAAAGAGCAAGAAGAGCTGTGTGCATAAAATAAGCATCCAGAGCTGCAAACCTTAGACCCGATCTTTAATTGATCTCTTGGGATCAATTTCTGACATCTCAGTAGGACTACATCAAAGAATAAGGATGACAAGATCTGTTCCATAGTTGCTGTATCTTAACATTATTACTTAATAGGCAGTTGATTAAATAGTCTTCAAAGGGATTTAGCAGCCAGATGGCATTTTCCACAGTTCATAACCATTTTAAGGTAGGTCAGATTTGTGGCTTAGAAGGTAATGTTGGAATAAAAAAATTTTTAAAGTCCTTACCTATGTTCTAATAGCATCTTAGATTATTGAAAGGAGAATATACTTTAAAAATCAAATGCACATTTCACTGTATGCACTGCTTAGGTAAAGTTCTATGAGAAATTGAATTCAGTGGCAACTAAGGGTTGTTAAATCTCACAGGATCTTGCTAATGGCTTTCCCTATTGCACCGGCTGAAAGACAGACATGATCTCGTTCTTTGTTATGTTACTAGAAATGTGGTAATTAAGGGTGCCCATTCAGATTAGTAATGGCTTAAGTGGGAGTTTAATTTGACTTGTTGCTTTCAAATTTGTTTCTCAAATAGTCATGCACAAATGATTTAAAAATTGCACGGAAATGTTTGCAATCAACAGTTTTTGACTTTTATCATTTGAAGTCATTTGCAAATGATTAGTAGTCAGATGCTGGTAGTGACTTTCATAAATTAAGCACTTTCTTCATCTTTTCCCTTTTCCTTCTTGTTAGTGATCAGTATGAACCAAAATGTCAAACTTAATTTTAACTTTACAACTCTAACAGTAATACAAACTTTTTGATGCAGTGATTTTCTTTTAATTTTAATGGCCTAACCCTAAGTTCTTCAAGTAGAAAGCTCTGATGGAAACAATTTTAGACATCGCTTTAAATACATCTCGGCAAGTTAGAAACATGGCAGCATTGTGTTAATCCATCAAACCCAGAAAGTGAACTTAGTACTGCTGCTTCTGCTTACCTGACATGTGGGACAGTGGCATGTCTGGATGTTGCCTGACTAGAGCTTCTAAATATTCAGAATGGATAATAATAATAGTAATGAAGATGATGAATGTTTCATGATAGTTAATAATTTGTAAAAAATCGGAACATGAATGCAGACCAAAGGTAAAGAGCTTGAGTGATAATGTCTATTTTTAAAAGTCTGCCAGTACTTGCAGTCTGAGGTGTTAACAGCTATACTTTGTAAGGATGTTCATTTTGTTTTAAAAGTGACTTTTACGTGCAACTGTGCCTTGAAAAGGCTTCTGTCTTCTCAAGTCTGTGTACTGCTGTTCGCTGGTTCCATATGAACAGTTTCCCAAAATGCCTGTTACATGTTTAGATGTTATTGTTTGGGGAAAAAAAAAAGTCATAATCCCATGTTTGATAACTCAATGCTGGATTATGAACTTTGTCTTTTTCTTTTTTTACGCTGTATCTTACAAACAGTGGTTCTCCCCATACCCTTTCACAGAATTGGGACTTAATGTCAAAGACTGCTGTAACTGTATGACAGAAATCTTAATTATCAAGCTGACTTTGACAGCATGAGGGATGTTGCAGGAGAAGCATTAAGACTGATGGGAAATATCATCTCTTCCCAGATAAATGAATTTTCCAGGCCTTTCTGAAATTTTTGCTATAGCTATTCACAAATTAAGCACCGAGTTGAGGTCGCATTTTCCTCTTGGCCCTATGTGCTATGAAACCCCGAGCGGATGCTGAGCAGCTTAACCATCCAGGCCAGGGGAGGAGGCCAGATGCCAACATGGCATCACTCTCCCTTAACTCCTTCCTTCTGCAAGGATGGCTGCAGCTGATTGTGCCTTAGCCAGAGTCAGGGGCAAAGAGGAGGGACAGAGGTTCTGACCGGTGTGTGCAGTAAGCTCTGTGTATCGCCTACCACTCCGTATGTATCACACACCTGTTTTGAGTTCCATTTCTCCACTAGGTTTGCACACGGGCACTTTGAGCTGAAAGAGTTGGTCCCATTCTTGGCATATCTCAATTTGTGTGTGGCTTCAGTGATTCTTCTTCCCCTTCCTCACCTCCCTAAGCATTGTGCTTCTCTCACTGCAGGGCGATCAGAACAATCCCAGAGAGATGACATTTCTCTCTTCTTTTTTTTCTTGATTACTTTCTTTCATTTTGTTTTTTACTTTTCCTTTGTTTTACTTTTCTTTCTGTTGTTTTCCTTTGCTGACACGTGGTTGGTTAATATGATGAAGCCTGTTATGACACTGTTGTTCTTGCTGCTGCCGCTGCTGCTGTTGTTGATGATGCCGTGTTCCCAGCTAACTGCATGTCTTTTTTTGTTTTTTGTTTGTTTGTTCGTTTTTGTTTCTTTGCAAAATCCCTCCCCCACTACCCCTTCACCTCCATCTCTTGTGTCCCCTTGTGACATGATGCATCTTTGTGACTCGGATGGATTTTATTCTGACTTTCCTTTCTCTGCTCGCCCGCTCTATGCGTATTTCACTGTTTTTGATGTGCATGGACACTCCGTGTCTGTCTCGTAGCCTATCAGAAAGTTCTTCATCCCCCCTCAGACCTCCGACCTCCCTTTCTCTCCCCGACCCCAAGTCTCCTTGGACCCTGATGCTTGTAGGAACGCCTCCAGGCCTGGACATGTACTCCAACCAAAGCCAGCACTTCAGCCCAACCCAAAGACGCAGACTTTGCCATCCAAGAGCAAATTGGCCGAAAAACCACTCCAGTCTACTAAATCCAACCCACTCCCTTCCAGCAATACCAGCGCGCCCTCTTCCCAGAACAGCCCTGTGCAGAATGCCCCGGGCCGCTCGCCTGCTGCCGGCTTTAACCCACAGCTGGCTGTTCCTAAATTGCAGACCAACCCTATGTCTCCTGTTAGATTACTCCCTTCTAGTACTGACCCAAGCACCAAATCTATCCCCATCATACAGGTCACCCCTCACCCCTCTCCAAGGGGAAGTCCCCTCCCTACCCCCAAGGGGACACCTGTCCATACGCCAAAGGAGAGCCCAGCAGGCACACCCAACCCAACACCACCATCCAGCCCCAGCATTGGAGGAATGCCATGGAGAACACGGCTCAACTCAATCAAGAACAGTTTCCTGGGGTCTCCTCGCTTCCATCGCCGGAAATTGCAAGGTGAGTATTCTCCGGATGTACAGGGTGGGTCTGATTTGGGCAGCCATTCAGCAGCAAGGGATACTTCTCTTTGGCTCTCAAAAATTTCATGTGCCGAGAACTGAGTACTGATACAGCAAATGAAAGTGATAGCATCAAGCAGTGGTAGCCCGAAGTCTGTGTCAGCAAGCTCTATAAATCCACTGCATTTGCTCCAACAGCATCTCCTGAGCCCTCTTTGCACTCGAGTAGTACAGACCTTAATATCATTGACATGGTTCTTAGAACCAAGGAACATTTTATCTTCAGATCATCACTTATTTTGCCAGCAAATCTAGAGCTATGGTATTTCACTATGCCTGTACTCTGCTGCCTCTTTGCAGCCGTGGGCTGAGCTTTCTGCTGAAAAAAAGACAGCCAGTGACAATAGGCTGAAATTGTTCTTTTGATGTACAGTTTGTTTGATCTTGGTTAGTGCTTTTTTTGCCACCTCGGGTAATTGGTATAAAAACTGCCTTAATACAGTCAGCGTTTTCATTTCCAGTGGCTGTTTTAGTTTTAAGAGTCTCTAGAGTGTTGAGATCAACAAAATTGTTTTCTTCAATCTCCACATAGCTTTTTGCATTCAGGAAAAGGGCACCCAAAGTCACATACACTGTCCTCGGATATAATCAGCAGCCATCCCAGTGCCAGGATCCTTTGGAAAGCAGGATATAGCCACGAAAGGGTTAGGTTTTGGGCTGTGATTGTCAGGGGCATTGTCCCTGAGGTGGCCAGAGAACTGCTGAGAATTGCAGCAGTGACTGAGTTTCAGCCAGATGGACTTGGAAGCAAATGGCCTGGTGTGGGAAATTTGTATATTTACATTGTCTTCTGAAAATTCCACAGGGATTCCTCATATTTTCAGTGACTAAAGGAAACTTTGCATAAAACCCCGTTGCATAAAGTGTGAGAATTGGCTCATGAAACAATAGTAAACAAGTTTTAAGGCAATCGGATTGGCATGATGTTTGGGATTTTCTAGTGATGTAAGAAGTAGTAGAACATGCCTTGAAATGCATCACTTGATTAGATACAATAATCTAGAGGCACATGACCAATTTTAAATGTCAGAAGTTGCCTGCAGAGGCAATGGATGAATGAAAGGGTAGTGCAATGTCACGATTTTTTCACTGTTATCAAACCAGAAAAAAAAGAAGATGTGCTGATTCACTGATTTCTTTTCTCCCTTCCTCTCTTTGGCTGTGTGTGCATGGGCAGTACCTACACCAGAGGAAATGTCCAATTTAACCCCAGAATCATCCCCAGAGTAAGTATTTTACCAATACTCTACTTCTTTTCCACCACCTGCCAACGTCACTTCTGAGCCTGAATGTCATAGGGTGACTGTTTCTGCTCTGAATCAGTATCTGACTGCAGCCTGTTATATGACAAGTGGGACTGAGATGTCAAAATAATCCCTCTGCTAAGGGCCTGAGATAAAGTCAATAGCTCAGTAATGGCTGTGGGGTCAGCTGGTGATGAAACTGTCTCATAGTGACCACCTCATTTCTACTCATGGCTTGCTGAGTTTAGTAGTCTTGGAACATCTTCTCATTCTCTTCTTTCATTTGGTTCTCAAGCACATCACTCTTGGGGATAGTCAATTGGCTTATACTGGCACTAACTGTGCAGTAGAGGGTCTTTCTCTTAGTACATGTAAGTTTGAATCCTCAGGATAGCATGCAGAAGCCTCTGCTCAGATGATTTAGAGGAATCTTTGGCTGGGATAGTAAGTGCAGTGTTAATTCTGGACAGCAACTCTGGGAAGTGGAGAAGCTGCTTCATATTCACCAGACTTATTCCTGAAAGTCCGTGTACATTTCAGCCATTTAATGGCACAGCTGTGCGTCACTGCATGGCAGGTTTGGAAGTCCTTGCCAGAGAGTGCTGCTCCAAACACTTCCGAATATATGCAACAGATGCCAAGTTATTCCTTTTTATTTTCACAGCTTGTGTTTGTGCACCCAATACCCATAGGCCTTCCCTGCCAACCAAGGCAATTTGGCCTTTCATCAAAATACTTGTGTGAAATATTCATGAGTCGTAGATGAAAATTGCAGGCCCAAAGTTTTGTAATTGGTGATAATGGTACTTTCCCTAGACCTGGCATGCTATAGTATGTGCAGTCTATTTCTAATGGTGCAGAATGGGCAGTGATAAAGACTACAGGAGAGGGAGAAGTAAGGAACAGTAAAGTTTAGTAGAAGAAATTCAGGAAGAAAAAATTGAATAAATTGTATTTTCAACATTTTGGACCATGTACTAATGGAGAGGCATGAGAGAAGTTCACAACATTAACACATCCTGACAGAATAAATACATTATATTCTCAATTATTTTAAGGCTTTTAAAGCAAAAAAAAAAAAACACTGAATTAGGTTTCTTCCCTTTGTATCCTCTTGTCTCACCTTTATGCATGTATGTTGGTTGAAGTTCTGTGAATTTATTGCCTTCTCTGCTTCCTACTCACCCTTTGAAAACTGGTGAATGAAACAGTGCCTATCATTTGAGGCAGTTTGGATGCAAGTCAAAGCCTAGGGCCCTTTTTTCTTTTTCTGTATAATTGCCAAATTAATGAGTTCAATTGGGCTGCACCCTCCAGTAAACATAATAAAAGTCATAAAAAATAATGAGCTGGATTTTATTTTAACAGTTGATATTTCATTGGTCAGTGCACATTTCCACACGTCTTGGTGGTTTTTTTTTCCTGCTATTCTTTTCCTTTCTGTAAGAAATAAGGTGTCCTTATCAAGAGCTCTATTGACCTCATGGGTTGAGCAATAAAAATATATGTCCTTGATCTAGTACAGCATTCTTCAATGACTGCCACTCTTTTAACAAAACCTGGTGTTTAGATGATATGCTTTGACATGTCTGGGTAGTGCTATTCTTTCTCATTTGAAAAAGTCCTAGAAAATGTGCCAGGGATGGCATTTGAAGAGACATAGCTCCAGCTGCTTTAGGCATGCAAAGCTCCAATTGCTTGCGTAGAAATGCTCTTATTTATGCCAAGCAGGTAGATTTACAGAGGTTGCAGATCCATGCATTCAGAGACAGAGAAGACAGTGAAGCACTGCAGTAACACACTGCAAAAGTAGAAAACAGAACATGACAGCAGTCAGAAATTCAGTGTGAAGTAATAAAGCACTTGCCTGTGTTTTCATGCTGATCTATTTGTTTTCTTCCCTCAACTGAACACCTGATTAGATTCCCAATGGACCCAGCCTCCCATGTATCTTCTGTCTTCCTCCCCATTAGGAGTCTTGCCATCACAAGAAACGGTTATTTTCACTGTTTAGAGCCTGATTTTGGAGGGTGCTAGAGCATCTCATTCAGATTGCTGAGCATCTTTGAATCATACCTGTTTCAATCCAAGTCAGAAGTACTTAGCATACCTCAAGAGGAGGAACACCCTTATTGTATGGTTTCACTCTGAAGTGGCTTCTTCTTCAGCAAACCTATTCTCTGTACAGAAGCACAGCTAGTTCTGCCATTGTCAAGGAGAAAAGTGAGTGCACGTGTGCTCTGTCTTGATCCAGTTCATTCCAGAAAGAGGAGAGACCACTGGCATCTCTGTCTCATATTCTGTCTCATGTGACTTGAGTAAAATTATGAATTCTAGTGATTTGTGTTAGTGGTGATAACCTTGCTGAAAAAGAGAGCACAGCTGCACTCTGTAGACTTCAGACCAAGTTTCCAAGCTGAACAGCAGAAAACTCCTTGTGTTCTGTGGCTCTCCTAACCTGCACTCGTTAAGAGACCTATAAATGAAGGCTCCACAAAACAATTAATAAAAATACAAATACGAAAAGTAGTATTTTAAGTTAGCAGATGTGCAGTTAAATATTCATGCTTTTTTCAAGTTCAGCTTCCAAGGAGCATGTGTGACATACATTGGGCCCCTTGAGTCCTGACAGCCAAGCCCAGTTCACATTATGATAGATCCCAGCCTAAAACAACCAGACATTTTAGATAGATAACCAGGTGCAAATTTACTAATGAGCATAGACCCCTTACATGCAGGGAGCTATTGCCCCAGCTCTCTGGGGGCTTGCAGAGTTGTTATGGTACGTGTGAGACACATGAGCTAATTAGTATGTAATTTCCTTTCACACTCTAACCCTGGCTCCTTAACGACCCATTTAAATGAGAGCCCCTTTCTCTTTACTGCTCTCCATGCTAATCTTTGGCTCACTGGTTTAGTTACAGCTGCCTCTGAATATTTTAGGGAGTGACTTTTCCAGCCCACTTTAATTGAGTGGGGGCAGTGATTTACTAAATTGCAAATGAATCCTTTTGTGCTCTTACCTCTATAATGGGTGGACACAAATGAGTATTTGCACAGCTGAGGTGCAGTGTTTTGATGCTCCTCTCTTTCTTCATCTCTGCCCTTCCTCATTCTGTGTCTTTGCTGCCAGGAAGGGGTTCTCCTAATAATTAGCTGTTCAGTACTTTGTTGGGGTGCACAGCAGTCCTTTGTGCAGATGGCTTTCCTTTACTGCAGTAGCTGGTCTGTAGATTGTCTTGTTCTGTTGAGTGGTGAACATCCCCTGGAAGTGAAAGCCTAATTGCTTGCCATGGCATCATAAAATATCCAGTGGAGTGAAAAACTTGTTCATGGCAGGTCTTTTCATCTCTGGCTTTTTCATGCTAAATTTTTCTTTGCTAGAATATGATCCCACATGACAGTGGTATTGAATGCACCTTCAGCAAGTTTGCAGATGGTGCATTGCAGATGCACCAAGCTGAGTGGTGCAGTTGACATGTTAGAGGGAGGGGATGCTATCCAGAGGGACTGGGACAGGCTTGAGAGGTGAGTCCAGCCAACCTCATGAAGTTGTAAGACCAAGTAAGACCAAGGGCAAAATCCTGCACCTGGGTCAGGGCAATCTCAAGCACGGATGCAGGTTGGGCAGAGAATAGCTTGAGAGTAGCCTTGAGAGAAGGATTTGGGCACGGCAATTGAAAGATTCAGCATGAGCCAGCAATGTGCGCTTGCAGCCCAAAAGGCCAACCATATCCTGGGTTGCATCAAGAGAAGTATGACCAGCAGGTTGAGGGAGGTGGTTCTCATGTCTGATGGCATCTTCCTTCCCCTCAAAGCCTTTACTCTCAGAGGTACTACCTCCAAGTTCTGAGTAGTTTCCCCCCTTAATATACATGCCCCATTTTTCCTTTAGCTGATTTAACTTAAAAGTGAGTTTCAACAAAGTGCATCAAGAAGATGGAACAATAAGCAAAATCAAACATTTGCTATTATGATCAGTGTGAAGAACAGAAGAACAGAAGAAGGATTTTATGGTGATACCTCCATCTGATGCTGAAAGAAATGATGGGCTGTCCGTGGAAAGCCCACACTGTGTTTTGTGAGGTGCTGAGATCTTTGTTAGTACTGGAAGTTTGTTCCTTTGTAAGAAAGCTGGAGTTTGTTCCTTATTGAACTCTTGCTGAATGGGACTGATGAATGAAAAAGTCTTTGTCGTGGCTCTATGGGTAGCAGTGGGTTTCATTTGCAGGCAGATTGAAGGGCCAATGAAACCTTGAGCTTGCTTTAAAAAGTGACTGTCAGTCCAAGAAGACACATTTGGGAATGGAGCTTTCCAAGTCTAGAAACAGCAAAGGGGCTGAAATGGGCAGGAGTAGACTTAAACTGCTGTGCTGACAACACCCACTGTTGTCACAAAAATTGAGATTCCTGGAGACATCTCAGAAACATGTCCCCAGCTTTGCAAAGTCGGCACCAAAAGCAATGCCTTCTATGTTATGTCGGCCCACGATGTCAGAGGCAGATGTTAGTGGTATGGCAATAGAGGTTGAACCTTCCCACCAATATTCAGTTACATTTTGTTGCTGTGCAATAAATGGCAGCAGAGGGGCAGTCAGATGGAATGGCATCTGATACGGAAGTGCAAATGAAGAAGTGGGATGCCACTGAATTCCTCCATGTGGAAAAAAGTGACATCCATTAACATTTACTGATGTTTGCTGAACATTTATGGAGGCCAACCAGTGGAAGAGAGCAGTAAGGTGATGGTGATGTGTTTCAGCAGCGGTGACAACAACAGTGGGGTACCTGATTCAGATTTTTCCAAGTGCAACACGCAGGCTCCTGTTCATAGGTAGTGAAAATGCAGAGCTAATGGTGGTGACTGTGTTGAAAAGTAATGTTTTGCAGCTGAGAATTTGCTCTATCACATAGTGTTGTTATCCTTTTTCTATCTGTTGTAGTTTCCATGGAATTAAATAGGAGGCATTGCTTTTAGAGAGACCTATGTGTATGAATTATGTACATGGCATATTAATTAGTGTATTGGCTTTATATAAAAGTTACCATTGCTGCTGTTCTTTTCATGGCTGATCACACATCTTGCAAGAGTTAACAAGGTGTGGACTGTTAAACAGTTTTCACTGAGTGGGGTATTCATAGACTCTTTGAGCTACCTGTTGTAGTAAAACCACAACTGGAGCGTTACCAATAATTTCTTGTGCAGTTCGTAAGTATTTTTTTTTCTATTTGGAAGGTATCTAAGAACCAGTGCTCAATATTCTAAATCATCTCTTTCTTTTTCATTATGTCAGGCTTGCCAAAAAATCCTGGTTTGGTAACTTCATTAATCTGGAGAAAGAAGAACAGATTTTTGTGGTCATTAAGGACAAACCGCTAAGCTCCATTAAGGCTGATATTGTCCACGCTTTCCTGTCGGTAAGTCAGCCAAGCTGCCTGTTAGATGCATTGCTCACTGGTCAGATCTGGAACTCACTCTGCCATGTCTGGATGAGGTGCTACCAATTGATGAGGAGCTACAAGATACGGTTTAGTAGCTAGTGGTAGCAATGGTAATGGGAGGATGGTTGGACTAGATGATCTTACAGGTCCTTTCCAACCTTGTGATTCTATGATTCTGTTTACTGGGCAGGGTTTTTTCTCCTTCAGGTTCATCCTCTGTGCATTTGATTTACGTATCGTGTTGATTCAGGCCTCCATTGTGTTCTGTCTAAATTTCTAACTGAAGAAAATATTCTGTGAGAAAAGATTTCAGCCTTCTGAAAGGTGAAGTCTCCAGGTTGGCAGTGCTTGGAATTTTAGTGCAGTAAGAGAACACTGGTTGTCCACTGTCAAGACAGTGTTTTGCTGCTTTGTCGCATTTCTCTTAAGGTCACCATCTATGCAAAAGTCTTGGCTTCCCTGGCTATGCTCTCCACCACTTTAATCAGACAAAAACCTGTGCCATGTCTGCATTTATTACTTTAGATCTTCTCTTCTCAGCTTTATGACAGATAGAATGGTAATTTCCTCTGGTGACCAGAGTCTCATTTGTTGGACATATTCCTTATTCACAATCCAGGATAATCTGCAGTTTTAGCAGAGGAAAATGTTTTTTTTTGTTTGTTTGTTTTTCCAACGGAAAGTCCTTATTCTTACCATTTGCAAGATAAGGAAAAAGTCAGTACAATAAATTTAATTTGCAAGGTTTTTAAATTCAAGGATGTTTGAAGCATACTGAGACCTTATTTTCCAATGGAATTGAGAGTAGGCAGCTCAATTTCTTATCATAGATCTTATCATAGATTCTTTTATAGTTTGTTGAATTGGTATTGTTTTCCAAAGAATATTACTCTCCTTTTTAGTCTTTATGATGCTGCAATGAATTTCTTCCAAAAACAAAAATTCAGTTCTTTTAACTGTTCATACACAGTGCTGGCATACAGGGAGTGTGTGCAGTATATATCAAACTTTCTACCATAAAACAGTCCATCTCAGGTTGATTTGAAGCAGCGACGTTCCTGTACTGGTTTCATGCTTTTAGCTGTGCTTGTGGGTTTAGCATAGTGTGCACCACTGTTTATACTGGTGATCCTGTGCATACTTGCACATCTGTGGGGTGAGATGCAATGCGGTATGCAAACTCTATGAATCATCTCTACAGATAACTTCTAATTAAACATATTGTCATAGCCTGATAAGTAAGTCCTTAAGGACACCTTGAAGAACTCATCTCTCATAATGCTTCCTAAATTAGAAGCCAGATTTCCGAATGGTTTGGGAAATCTTTTGAAAATTTTGTCCTTTGAGAAGCAATAAATAAAATATGAGTAAGTTAAATTCTGGCAATATCTGTTATTATTGACTGCCTGAAAATTAGTGAGTTGTGAAATCCTACTGTAGGTCTGATGATACTGGATTACACCAGAAAGCTTCTCAAAATTGTTTTATGTATTGATAGGAATAGTGGTTTGGGTAAGTACACATACTGTCCCTGTGGATATTCCAGACACTTGTCTATGTGTCTGCTGCTTGTCCTGATGTCTCTTTAGCATAGAATCACAAATTCAAGTCCAGAAGAAAAAACAAATCTTACAAATTTTGCAGTTGTTTCCTCTGCACACTGTACCGTCTTCTACCAACCTGTTTCAGATTCCAAGCCTCAGTCACAGTGTCATCTCACAGACAAGTTTCCGTGCAGAGTACAAGTCCACAGGAGGTCCTGCTGTCTTCCAGAAGCCGGTTAAGTTCCAGGTGGACATAACATACACAGAAGGGGGAGAAGCGCAGAAGGAGAACGGGATCTATTCTGTCACTTTCACACTCTTATCAGGTAACCACGGCAAAGCTGCAACATGGGTGCAAGTTGTCTTTGGCCTTGCTGATATGGAGGCCTGTAAAGATATTTCTGCTAGAGCAAAGGGTATTTCTGCTTGACCTCAAAGGAAGGTTCCAACAGTGGGCAAAAGGAGGATATTGGGATCAAGAAGGCATTGGTAGTAATGGAAATGGTGGGAGAGCAAAACATTCCCTTGAGGTGAAGTTGCCACCACCATAATTAATACTGCATAACTAATGCTGCTCTGTTCATCAGATTTGAAATACTTCCCTATACTACATCCTTGCTTTACTCAAAGGAGTTGCTTTACACCCAGGAGGGGAGTAAACTCTTCAGAAGGGCTGACAACAGCAGGACTAGGGGAAATGGATCCAAGTTGAAGGAGGGAAGATTTAGGTTGGATGTTAGGGGGAAGTTCTTCACAAGGAGAGTGGTTAGGCCCTGGAATGGGCTGCCCAGGGAGGTTGTGGATGCCCCGTCCTTGGACGTGTTCAAGGCCAGGTTGGACGGGGTCCTGGGCAACCTGATCTGAATGTGTACGTTTGGTGGCCCTGCTAGGCAGGGGGGTTGGAACTACATGATCCTTGAGGTCCCTTCCAACCCAGGTGATTCTGTGATTCTGTGATTCTGTGATTCAAAGGTCTCAGTATCTCACTTGGTCTCTGTAGGCCAATGATTTCTCCCTTCTCACAGAAATATGTGATCTCTCTTTTTTTTGCTGGCTCATCACATGCCACGCACAAAGTTTAAATTAAAATAATAAGAAAAAAATGTCCCCAGTCTTTTCTATCTTTACAAAATAAGCCATCTTTCCTTTTGCTGAGTCCAACATGGTGAAGCTTCTATTTATATTGGGACTTTATTGGTTCCTCAAAGTTGTGCATTTAGGTGAAGCATAGCTATGCTGTATGTACACTTACAGGGATGAGACGGAAGGGAAGATGTTTGTGACCCTTTCCCTCCAGCCTGTGTTACATGAGGATTCAGTTCGCACTCCTCTCACAGCCATTTGTGCCTCTTCTCTCCTTACAGGTCCAAGCCGTCGTTTTAAGAGGGTAGTAGAAACCATTCAGGCACAGTTGTTAAGCACACATGACCAGCCTTCAGTGCAGCAATTATCAGGTAAGTAGCTTCTGCTGTTGAGCACCTTGCTTCAGAAAGGACAGGAAGACAAAGTGCCTCTCAGTACCAGGAGGCTGAGGGAGGCCACCCCTCTGATTACAGCAAGAACCAAGCTCCATTCAGACAGAGCAGTAATTTCCTGCACCCGCCTTCCCCCTCCCTCTCATCCCCACTCCAACGCTCCCAGCGCATTCCCCAGTTGAACAGCTTTTGCCCTCCTCCCGCCCAAAGAGCCATTTGCCCACTTCTCCATCAAAGGCTGCATTCTCAGTTGATATTCCAGATATTCTCAGGTTCCATAAGTTCCCAGAACAGGGACACAGTCTGGAAGATATCCAGTTTTCAATCTCTTCGGGCATGCATTAGAAACCTCCAACTGTAGAAGGTTGCAGAAGAAAGTTAAGTGCTGCTTTTAAGTAGCCATTAACTACAGTGTTTTCAGATGTTGGAAGGTGGCTGATAGTTTCCAGTAGTGCAATCATATTCCTGGCCCAGTACTGTGGTAGCACAAGTCGTATGCTAAGGTTCTGCAGAAACTATATTTTATTGATTTTTAAAATAAGTTCCAATTTGTCGTGGTGGTAAAGAAAGGCTTACAAGTATGGCCCTGTGCAGTGACATCAATCTGAATCTGCAGGCAGCCTGAGATGATAATACAGAAACTGGCCTCATCCCATCATTATGTAGCAAATGTTCACTCTGACAACCAGAGGTGACACTAGGAAAAAAGTCAATGTTAGCTCTTATATCCTTTAAGAAGACAGAACAAAGGAAGAAGGTGAAAATGGAAAATGTAAGGAAGCTCAGATATTGGAAATGCTTCAGGGAAGGAAAAGTAGGGAGAAACAGAAAGACCATAAAGATACAGGGGACAGATGGGAGCAAAAGAGAGAGTGGGGGCTGCAGGAGGAAGAGACAGCGGGAGTGGGAAGAGTTTTCCCATCATACGGGAAAAGGTAGTATGTACATATTCCTGAGAGCCAAGTGATGTGCTTTACCTTTGTGTGAAACAGCCAAGACAACATTACAGAATGAAATCTGCATAGGATCATACAGTTAATTGTTAGGTCTCCTTGGCTCACTGCACATATGGGTTACATCCTTCTGGTCTAACAGTGTGGCTTTAAGCTGAAGAGAAAATAACTCTGTCTAGAAGAGTGTGAGCTCACTATGTGACAGAAGAGTATGCTCAGCTCAGGAAAAATTATTTTCCACTTTACTTTTGCCTTCCAGCACTGCCTGACCTTCTGCATGCTGGATTGCAAGGGTGCCCAGCACATGGGTTATTCTGTTAGGAAACAGAAAAGGTGAGGATGTTAGAACCAAGGCTGACTCCGATTTTTGCTGTGTGAATTTCTGAAATAAAATAAAATTCAAGGAAGCAGACAGAATTTTCTACCAGCTTTTTCTCTTGGGAAATGCTGGGACCAAGTGAGAGTAAGGGTAATTAGCTGAGAAAAAAATGTATTCTCTATTTCACATTACCACTGGTGTGTGAACAGTGGTCAACCATTCCTTGTCTCTTTCAGAAAGAAGTGTGCCCTTACCCTCTATGAGGGAAAAGCTATTAAAAAAATTAAATGATGTGATCTTTCTTAAATTCTTTACCCTAGCATATGCAAGCTACTGAGGCCATACAGAAAAACTTGGACTCTGTTGCACACTTACACATGAAGAAGGGTATCTCTATAAGAAAGTCATATTGTAGCACAAATAAAAACCATCCATCTGACTGAGGCTCAAGAGATATTTAGCGCAAACTGTGCTGTGAGAAATGCATCCTACTTACAGTTTTGCTCTGATTCTGGAATGGAGAAATTATATTATAGACACAGAGTCTCCTTCTATTGCCTAAAGCTGCATTGGAGTAATTCATTCTCGCAGAGGAGATGCAGCCTGATCTTTAAAGTTGGGGAAAGTGCAACTCCACATGGAGTGTTAAGAACAAGAGCTCTGTCATCCAGGTAGTTAGCTAGACAAGGCAGCTCACAAGAGATACGGCACCAGACTGTCCTGTATCTATCATCTATCCTGATCAGCAAGATGCATTTCTCTTGGAGAGAAATTATTTAACCTGAAAAACATAGTTTGGAGAAGAATCCAAGGGAAAGAGAGAAAGGAAGTGAGATTATTACTGTGGAAAAGACAGCCTGTGATTCCAAGTAGAGAGGTCCCATGATTCACATTCTCATCCAAAATGAAAGAGAAAATAAATGGATAAAGGAACTCAAAGAGGTCGTGTTTAGTACCTTGGGTGTACAACCACAAGCTGGCTGGCTGTGGTTGGATAAGTCTGTGCAGGGCTTACTAGAAATTGCCAAGTTATTGATCAGCATTTCTTACTCATGTAGAAGCAAGACAAATTCTTCTCCATTTCTCTTCTTCTCCCACATTCCCAGACCTGAACATCTCACAGGAATTAAGGTGGCTGGAGTCCTATTCAGGTTCATGTTTTGAGGATGCCCTGTAGGCAGTCCCCTGCTGGAACAAAACAAGCTTATGGTTCACTTAGGCTCTCCTCCTCCATGGCTTTGAGGACATTGCTGGCTCTGACCAGCAATGCTGACTAGTTTGCTCCCCTGCCAGTGCACTGGAGATTTTCATAGCTCACTGTGCACAGACATATCTTCTGTGCAGTTGTCTCTCCTGCCTTTTGGTTCAGGTACCTTTGCATGCAGGATGGTGAAAGCTGCCTGTGAAAGCGTGCATGTAAGGTGAGATCTGCAAAAGGACAGGACCAATGAAAGCAGGGTGAAATAGAACAGCAAGGCCCAGTAAGCATATGGCACTGACAGTCATTCTCTCTCCTGCTCCTCTTTGATCTGTTATGCAGCATGCCAGCCCACTAAGCCGGCTTGCCTGGGTTTCAGAACACACTTTCTTCTTTCTCATTTCTTCCAGCTCACAACAGTGTTTGTAGATGTCATGTTGCCCATACATCTATGTGTGTGTGAGTGTGTACACATACGTACCTGATTTAGGCAGATGTGTTTCTATGTCTCACTTGAGCACCCTGTAATCTCCCTTCCCCATGGATATCCCTGCATTCACTTCCATTTTCCCTTCCTAAAACTGTGCTTATTTCTTCTGACATATTCTGAAGCAGGAAAACAGCTTCCCTCCCTTGCTGGAATAAATGTGTAAATAAATGCAATCCATTCCACGTGCTAATCTATTACTTTTTAAAGCTACTGTCCAGTGGCCAAATTTAGTACAACATGTCAGCCTTCTACCTTGATGCTTCAGGACATGAAATCTTTTGTGGCGTAAGTGCTGAAAGGGCCTGCAGACTTAAGATTGGCATGAAATAGGTAGACAGACACTCCATCCAGGAGCCCCGTACTCAGAATCTGCTCTGTAATCCCCAGGCAGGACTGCCCTTTGGAGGAATAAAGTGATCTCTTTGGAAGGAAAAAATCACTGGTTTTGGCCTTTGTTTCAGCCCAGTACACTTTCCATTAAATCGTAATTTGTTTTCCTCCACAACGCCTTTGCCCAAAAGTAATACAAACAGCTGGTGAATGGGGGCACTCAGAAGCCATCCGTGTTCATTCACAGGTTATCAATTTTTATTTTCTTAATATTTTCTTGCCTTTTTAGGCTTTGCTTTTAGGTGTAGGGTGCTGCTTATCCTAACTTTTAACTCATTTTCCCATGTTTTAGGCAATCAGCAATGCTGCGATAGCCTTCATAACTTCTTTGTAGTAGGTTTTCTGTTTTACTGTATTTCTTGGCTTCATATCAGATTTTAACCATCAGCATTTCAATCAGAGCTTCTTGGTATTGCTGCTGAAAATGCCTTTCATCAACATAAGCAATTGTTTAGAGACCACATCCAGTCTCAAAATAGGGCAGTGCAAATTCTTTCTGATGGCATGTATCTTCTGTATATATTCACCTGAGCTCTCTTACTGTCCTAGTGTATGTCTCAAAGAGAAAAGAAAAAGCAGATGTTGACGTGATTCAAAAGCTTTGTGAGATTTGTGCTTTCTGGGTGTTCATCTTTATGGCCCACAAGTGCTGTGGGCTGCCAGATAGCTACCAAAATAATTAGTAAGAAATAGTTTCCAAATGTGCAAAGGATTTTATTATCATCAAGACAGAAAAAAGGGAATATAAAAATGCCAGTTTGGAACTGGACCACCATCAGTTTTATCTGGGGCTCATCCAGGTCCCAGCTTAATCTTGTTTTCTGCATTCCTTCATGCCTTCACCACTCTCATAATCTGGGGCAGTGCTTTGTATTGCTGTCATAATTCCCACCTATAAAAGGCACTGTGTAATGCCTGATTGGTTTGGTAGAGGACTGATTTCGCTATACAACTTCATTGTTATTATTTGACAGACCTCACTACAATTAACTGGGTTGTCCTGAAATAAAGCATGGAAAAAGAAATCCAAGCACTTCAGAGCTGTGATAGGAGAACTGTGCATTTCAAGTAGGCACCCAAACAGTAGGAAGTTCCAACCTCTGTGGTTGGAATTCTAGATTTCCTGGGCTGGGACAAGTCACCGTTCCGGAGACATCAGAAGCATCACAATCCAGGCTGTTTGACTGTGAAATTTGTGAAGGATAGGAATACAAATTACAGGGGGGGGGAGGGGAAAAAGAGAAAAAAAAAAGAAAATCAGGAAAGAAAATCTGTCAGAACACTGAGGATTTTTAATGGATTCAGAGCTTCTTTGACCTTTTCATGTTCCAATAAGGAAGGTCTTATTTTAACCAAATCATTTGTCATCTGTTAATGAACTAAATTGAATGTCATTTATGGAAGAGACTTGGTAACAACTGACTGCCAGCAATTCCTATGAAACAAGGGATTGCCTTATCATCAGAAAGGTTGAGTTCTGCCACTGCCATTCTGCTTTAATTAAAAAATTAAACAACATACATTAAAAATGCCGTTACATGACCCATCAGTGCTTCTCAGGGAGCTAAATGCCGTTTTGGACCTTGATATTATTCTCCTCACATAACACCTTGATCCCACAGATACTGGGTTGTTACCCATGAGCAGAAGCCTGCTGCCAAGAATCTAAGGCTTTCTAATAAGGATGAAAATTCTGCTTTGAAATAGCAAATATTTTGTCATATAGAATACTTATTAAAGCAGATGTTATAAGATGATGGAAATTAAAGAAGTATTAAAGTCGTTATTATAAGAAGTAAGCTAAAGGCGTATTAACTCTGTTAGTCTCTCAGGAGGTGTGGTAATAGCTGCTGCTTCTGGCATGCTCTTGTTTGCTCTTCTTTAGGAATGGGGAGAAAACAGCTGATCTTGTATTGGGAAGACATTACAGATAGAAATGGGAATGAGAAACAATCTTTTAGTGATACTTGAGAGTTTTCTTGCTCTTAATGTGTTTTTCTGTGCTCTTTCAAAGCACAGGTAGTGCTGACAGCTGGGCGACTGCTCTGAGCTCTACCATTATAGATTTGTAGTTATTGCAGCTGGGTGTAGTTGACTCAGAGTTGGACAGGAAACAGCACAAGGCATCAGATGGCTCACTTCTCCAAGTTACTAAAGAAAAAAAACCAATGCAAGCTTCTGATTGTGACTCCTTGTCATTGACTCAATCAGCAGCTCAATCAATTGACTCAATCAGTAGGCACTTCTTAAACCTGTTAGGCATCTTCAGGGAGGAGTGTTTTTTAGGAGTTTAATTTGCTTTCTACTCAGAACATCCAGTGACAGGTGAACTCCCCACCTATCAGACATCTTGTTCCGGATCCTGAATCCTGTCTTCTCCTTCACCTCCTGTTTTCCTTTGCTTCTTTTAGTCATGTGCCTTTCTGGGCTTCCGTGGGTTTCATCTCCCATTCAGCGCTGCCAGCCTGCCTTCAGCCTTGGGGGTGTAATGTCTCCTCAGATGCTTTTTGTACATCACTGTGACCAGGCACCTGTGCTCTCTCCTCCTTGCATTCCCAGATGATATGAGTACAGGCCTGGTTCCATCAGAAAACACATCCATGCTCTTCTAGCATGGATTCAGCATACCTAGGCAAATCCAGCACCCCTTCCTCACCGTTTCAAATTACTTTTCTGTGGAAATGAATGCTGGAAGTGGACCTACCCTCTCTCGTACAGACTGTTTAGCAGATAGAAAATAGTTAGATCTTCCTGGCAGACAGGGATTTGGGACATATGTGTGCATGTTTCTGAGAAACCTATTTCTTCCAATACCTGAGTGCTTATTTAAAGGTCAGGCAGGAGAAGACCCAAAACTAAACTGAGTGAAGTAACTGGTACCCGCTGGCTCCTCAGCAACTGCCCAGCACTCAGAAACACAACAGTGAGGTCCCACTGTCAGGGCACCCTGACTGACAGTGACAGATCTTGCTTGCCTGCATGTTCTACAGGAAAGTGGCCAGCAGGACTAGTTCTCTGCATTAAAGCTTACACGTAGAGCTCCTTCTTGCTTATTCCATCTGAGTTAAAAGCATTCAGAGGCTGTGGCAATGGGAGCTGTGCACAAAGTGAACAATAATGTCTTAGGTTCTGTTACCCTTTCTGGAAGTAATTTTGTTGCCTGTGAATGGTGCCATTGAAAGCAAGAAGATAAGAGACTACATGTGAATGATAGAGGCAGAATTGTGTTGAGGACTTGGGCACTGGGCTTCTAAAAAATGTTTTTGAGTTATGTAAGTAGCCACCTGTACATGTGCAGTAGCACAGTGTTGCCTTCTCTCCCTCCCTCAAACCTTCAGTGTACATAGCTCAGCTGGCTGGCTCATGTGCTGCAGAATAATCTGCAAAGCTGTCCAGGGGAAAGAACGTATTTCTAGTCTTTTAGTTTGTTAGTGTAATGGCAGAATGCTTCCGACATCTCTTGAATACTCATAGCTATGATAAAGATGTGGATGGAAGCAGCAGGACTGAGGCAAGCTCCACTCCCAGTCCTATGGCCAGGTGTGCACTGGCATAAAGTGGGTGGCAGAATTTGGCTTAGGTTGTGTAAAATCCAAGATGTGTATGTTTCCTGCTTCAGGTAATAATGTGCTAAGTCACTACTTTATGCACAGAGGTATGGAAACCTTTTTTTTATGTTTTTCCCTCCCTCCCTCCTCTTTCCGTTCTATGATCTAGACACCACTAACTGTATGGAGTTGATGACTGGCAGACTTTCCAAATGTGGTAAGAACTTCCTTCCCTTCTGCCTTTTCTCCTTCCCCAGTCCCTGCTGAGCAACATAATAACGCACCGCCCTGTCCCTTCCACCTCTTCCCCTTCCTTATCCCTGCTCTCCCACGTTCTTTTCAAGACTACCCAACATGTAAAAGCCCACAGTGTCCTTCTCTTACCCGGCAGACACAAACATATACCCCTTATTCTGTTCCTCCCCATCCATGCACAAGATGCACAGGCTCCACCACGGCTTTCCCCTTCATAGCACAAGTGTGTGGTGTTGCACTTCAGATTCCCTCCCTCACTGTCACCCAGACCAGTAATTTTTCTGTTCTTTTTCCTTTTTTTTTCCTTTTTTTTTTTTTTTGTTATTGTTGATGTTGTTGCTGCCTTTGGTTCGTAATTCTTCAGTCCCTTTTCAGCAGTGAAGCTGAATGCTGCCCTGCTAGCTGCTGTCTCCCTTGGTTTCCTTTGATTTATTGAGACAGAATTGCTCTGTTATTTAATTCCCTTTTGCATCCACTCCCTTCTTTTCCATGTATGTTTAGGGTAAGGCCCTTTTAAATCTTCCATAAAATGCACTGCATATTATTTACCATTTAGCCAGACATTTAACTGTCATAGTACCAGTCTGGTCTTAGGGAACTGTGTTGTGTTTCTAGCTGGAGGACAGTGAACCTTTTGGAGATTCAGAATTTTGTTAGGAATGATGAAAAAAGAAAAAAAAAAGAGAAAAAAGAAAAAAAGAGGAGTTTTCTGCAAAACTTGCATCTCAGCTTGCTTGGGGTTCCATGAATTTTGGTTAACTTGTCCCTTGCCCTCCTTCTGCTCTGTGCACACATGAACTATTCTTTCCTTCCTTACCTGTGGCCTTACTGGCTCCTTCAAATACAGTAGTGGAAATACCCAAATGCTAAAAGATTGGGTGTTTTGGGTTTTTTTGCTCTTACATCTTGTATGGAAAGGTTCTGCGCAAGAGAAATCTGTTCTCGTAGGACTTCCATTCTGGTAACTGGGTTGAATTCAGACATTTCTGTGCAAGGGAACACAAGCTGTTGAGGAAGTGATCACTGAGCTGGTACTGCTCTCCAGCTGGACCTGTGACTCCTGCGTCATCTCTTTGTAAACTGAGGGAAGTTCTTCTGGAGTCATTCCACAGTCAAGTTGTCACAGTGGAGATAATGTTAGGTTTATGCATGTGTGACTGAGAGCAGAAATTGTTCTGTATTTCATATGATTCCTTTTCCTTAAAGAGCAGATTTGATGATATATTTTTTTCTCTGAGGAGAGCTCATATGATTTCTTATTTGAGTTTTCTGGTTTACTCTGTTTCTGATCTCTTCAAGAAGACTCATTTAACTTGTAGGGAGACCTCCAGCTTTGTCTTGAAGGTACCAGACAGCAAATCTCTCTTCTTCCTCAAGCCTTTCTTTCTTGCCCGGATCTGACATCCACATCATATGACAATACTGAAATGCTGATTGTGCTGATTGCTTGCAAGTTAATCAAGCTACACAGATAACCAGCCAGTCCTCTTCTCTCTCTAGATAGAGCGTTACTGTTCATTCCCAGCTCAGGTCCTTCAGCTGCCACAGTGTCAACATCCATCAGGGACAAAGACAACAAGGTGATGGCCTCCCAAGAAGGGAGACTGTTTTGTGGCAGCTGCAGTCTGAACAGAAGATGTAGGTAGATCTAGAAAAGAGAAAGGAAGGGTCGTCAAGGTAATGGAGCTGCTTCCTTTGAATCAAACTGCTTTTGGTGTGTTCATAAAAAATGGAAGTAGTGATGACATTCACTGTGCTGAATACCACCCTCCTAAATATGTGAAGAGCTATTTCATGCACAAGAGAACTCGTCCAACATTTAGTCAGGGGAGTAAAGGGGAATGAATTGGGATTTTGCCTAGTATTGGCAAACTGTCCTCTGTGACTTTGAGGATGGGCATAGTCCTGTGGAGTTGGCACAGTGTTCATATAGAGACGGCCAATAGAGTAAGAAAAACTATGCTGAGCGTTTTTGTGACGTTATCATTGTTCCACATTCTGAGAATGAACATAAAAGGGCATTTTGCAAGAGTTAACACTGGAGCAGGAAGAGCAAATCAAAGGTTTTATGCCAGGCTTAACTATGTGAAAGCTGTGGTGGGAATGAGGAGTATCTCTTCACTCAATATAAACCATTGTAATTAGCAGCAAGGCAAATTTGTTTAGCCCTTTAAATATTAACTTGTCTTCTGTTAGCAGTCATCATCAGTCTGAGATGTGCTTTTGCATTTAGACATTAGCATTGAAAAGTAGTTCTTGTACAGCTGAGGTATGTCATAGGAGCTGCCACTGTTCAAATGCTGCCACTGTATCAGTTCTATCTGTGCACACTGGTAAACTGCTGCCAACTCCCAGTGTTTCACAAGAGAAGAAAATTGTTTGTCTCATGATCAAGTTGAAATGCACTCAGGGATGCAGTATTTTATTTTCTTTCCACCTGTTTCAGCAGGGGAAGGAGCATTTCTAGTGTCAGGAAGACTTAATTGATTTTTGTGAAGTCTTTAATATCTGTGTATAAGAATAACTTTGCCTTATAATAGCGCTTTACATTTAAAAAGGATCTGTAGCCTGAAAACTGCCTGTAGAAGTGATACCTTCTAGCTTAGTTGATCTTTCCCTTGTGTATTCAGAGCCAAATCAGTTTAGTGACAAATAAGCTTTACTACTTTATGTGCTGCCATTAAGCCTTATAAATTCAACATGGCTGTAAAAAGGTGAGCTAGATTTAGATTCTTTTGAGGCAGGATTGAGAGACCTCTTTACTATCATCTAATCTGGTATTTATGTCTACCTCATTGAAGAATGGATTGTGTGATTAACACTGAGGTTCTAACAGGTACTTAAACTACTAAGCTGTCAAGCTTTGTAGTTTGAGTGTGTTGGATCTGGAACCATTGATATATACCACACAGAAGCCCACAGTGCCATTTCACTAGTCCTCATTCAAAAAAGAGTCTGTCTTTATGAGCTTGGATGACTTTAAGGCCTTTAATAAGTGAGCTGAGAATTTATTTGGATGGTTGAATCAGTAGTGAAGCTGTTTCATAGCCTTTGATAACTCCTTTTCCCAACCATCTCTAATTTTTTAGAGTCCCTAGGAAGCATGTTTCAGCAAGGTGCTGGCTGCTGGCAGAAAGCTCAGAAATGCCTGTCTCATTCTTCACATTACCTTCTGAGAAACACTCACCAGAGAGCCTGTGATCTCCCCATTCTCTATAGGGGATATATATATATATATATATATATATATAGGGGATTTATATATATACATGTATCTCAGCTGTCTGGGGCTGAGTTTTATTTCCAAGTAAAGCAGTTTTCTGTGTTGCTTTCATCCCTCATGAATCTCAGGAAGTTTTCAGTTATGTCACTAGCACTTCAAGAAAATGGGAGATTATTACTGTATAATTAGCACAGCCCCAGTCAAATCTTGCTGCTGTGCTCGGCATTGCACAAGCTTGCTTTCTTGCAAAATCTTAGACCATAACTCTGTGACACAAGAATAGTCAGAAGACTATTTGAAAAATAAAAATGCTTATTTTTGTACATCCCATGTTGCTGCTTACAGTTTGAAAACTGAATTCCTGGCACCAGTTAAGCAAGAAGCTTTAAGGATCCTCGTGTGAACCAGTGACTGTCACCAAAATGATCTGATCAAAGCGGAAGCACAGCAGATCCACTTGCCTTTCTTATCTTTCCAGTGAATCTCACTGAAATCTCTTGCTTCTAATGTCTAGAATATATTTAGATTGTTTACATAGCTTCTTATTCTGAGACACCTTACATTGCCCACCATCACCAATCATCCTCTCTGCACGTCCTCTTGCAGTAAAGACTTCTCTTCATACCTCCTTGCAAACGCAGTTTCATTCATACAGATGCAAGCCCATCTCAGTAGTATCCCAAGCAACTTGAGGAATTAGGAGAGGTGTAGTTTAAAATTAATTACATCATATTGGGATTGTGGCATGTAACTTAGTGGTAGCTTAGAGACTGTTGGTGTTACAGCAGCAAAATACTGGTTTTGAAGCTCTCAGAAGTGATCCATGTTGGTGTTATTTGAAGTAACTGTTTCATTTAGAGTAGCCATTTGAGCTTTAATGGAAGAGAAAGTTGGTGATTCACATTCTTGAAGTCATAACTGATGGTAGAAACACGAAGACCTGCAGAAAAAAGGAAAAAAGACATATACTGTTCTCCCAGCTGAGGGATTCTCTTCACCACTGTTGCACAGTGAGGTTGTCGGAACAGTGTTCTCTTCATTTTCATTTCTGATAAATGAGCTCACTGCTCATCTTTCTGAGTGTAGCTGATTCTTGATGGACATGGATATAAATTGGGACCCAAATGAGAGATCTAAGGTGGAAGCCTACCTGAAAGATCACATATTCTATCATAATGTGTGAATTATGATAACTTAGATAAGTCCGATTTTCCGAATAGTTCAAGCCAGATTTCCCAGCTATTTGCTGTCCAAACGAATATGAATACCACACGGTAGTTGTATCTCTTTCTAGTGTTGCTTTCAGGAGAAACTTATTTTCCAATTCATAACTCATATTTTTGCACTGTCGAAGAAGGTAGCAATAAAAATGGCAGCTTGGCACTAAAGATGACTCCAGATGTATTGTTATGTATCAGATTCTGTTTTGACTTCTACCAGACTTCTATTGCCCAATACAAAATCTTCTCCTCTTTTCTTTGTTAATATCTAATATTTGCTTGCTGTGCTGAGTTGAATCTGAGATGGCCTCTCCTGAAAGTGGAATCATATTTTGAAGGGATTGATTGATTCAAAGGAGATGAGGAATTAACTTTTCTCCAACATACAGAGTTTATTTCTTAGGAACAGGTCTGAGAACTTAAAGCCCGTAAGATCACACATAAACACCCATCTGTCAGAAAGGGAAAAATAGTATTATTAAGTGCCAATATATTTTTGACATTTTTATGGACAAAAAA